CAGCCACCAGAACATCTATCAACCAACATGTTTCAGCCACCAGAACATCTATCAACCAACATGTTTCAGCCACCAGAACATCTATCACTCAACCAGTTTCAGCCACTGGAAAATTCCATCAATGACATCAGTGTTTCAACTATCAACCTTCTTTACTTGGCATCAGCTTACCAAGCAGCTTTGCCAAGCAAGTACTCAGTCAGGTCACCAGGTCACCAGTGACTGGGTTAGAGGACTTTTTTTCAAGCATGTGGACTTCCTGGTAGTCCCAGATGCGAAGTTACTGGTCCAGGATTTACATATAAACCCCCCTCAACACTGGGAAATTATCCAACCAACTTTGACTTTCAATTGATTCACCAAATCACACATACCCATTCCTCCTTGACATCTCCATCACCCTATATCTCCGCCAGTTTTTACGCTATCCGCCTCATTCAAGTCACAAACGATGCGTCTTCCGTCTATCTCCCACCGCCCCCCATCGGTTCCCGGCAATCAGCAACGGTTCAAGCTCGACAACGCAATTTTGAACGGCATTAAATCGAAATTTCCCCTCCCTTTAATCACCTCTATCACTAGACATGATCTAGAGACCTCCTCCTCCACCAACACTCTAAAGCTAGTCTACAAACTCGATATCAGTACCCCAGAGAAGAGTGTAGGAAAGACTATTAGGATGCAGGAGAAGGATATGAGATGGTTTGGGAACAAGGAGGTTAAATTGGGAGAATATTGGGGAAGGAAAAGGGTTCAGGAGAGGAATTTGGATAAGTTCAGGCAACTGCTACTTGACCAGGGACCTCTAAACAATAAAGGGGCATGGAAGGCACTCCCAGAAGTCGAAAAACTCGCCCTAGAATGGCTGGAGTTACACCACAAACTCCCCCAATGGACCCCAGGCTTAGAGTTAGAATCAGCCTTCCTCATCACCTCTGCTCTTCCCCAACCTCAATCGAACAACATCGATATCTCCGTCAATAATAACGCTATCCCGACGATTCAACACGGTACCGGAGTTTCTCATCAGCCCGGTCCGGTCAACGAAAGAATCACGCCGATCGGACAAGAACTCGACCCGCTAGAGCAAGATCCACAACCCCCTTTTCAACCCCTTCCTGATATTCATACCTTTTTCATGCAACCCTATTTCGACACTCCCCCTGGTCCCAGCGCCGTCAATCCGGTCTTATCTGAAAGGGGCAACGAAAAGAACGACAACGACACTACTTTCACGGCAGTAGCTAGTCAGGAGCCCGCTCCACAGACGCTTCAAACTCGGCGCTCTAAAAGCTACTTGGAGAGGAACTTTTGGAGGGGAGAATATGAGGGATTAGACCCTATTTACTTCAAAGGGAAGACTCCTGGTGGGGAATTGAGCGTCAACACCGATGCTTGCAGAGAGTACGGTCAATATGACCCTATTTTGGCCGAGATTGAGTTGGAAATGGATGAGGAATGATCACTTTTACCTTAGTTTGACTTGTCATTTTTGCCCAAAAACCCAAAAACATGTCTTTTACCTTAGCTATTTTATCTTACTTGCTTGTAACCTACCTTAATCTCATCAATTCCTGTAGACACAGCGGGACGCTGCGTTATTTCAGGGGGGGAGTGATGTAAAGGATCAGGGGAACAACTTGTACCTTCTACATAGTTTCACATTCCATACTTTGTACTTTGTACATTCCGTACTTTGTACATTGCACATTGTACTTTGTACATTGTACAACGTACAACCCTCAAAGCAGTATAGAGTTGGCTGAGCAGTGTGAGGTCCTTGAGCTTCCATCACTATGGTCTGCTGGTGACCTGGAAGGATGTGATATGCCTCCTTTGCTCTGAACATGGCAAACTTTCCAGGAGAGGCAGTTGTTTTCAAAGCTATGCTGCCTGTTTGTCCCCTGAGGCTGAGGTTCCCTTTCTCTAAGTTGACAATGGCTCCATGATGATCCAAGAAATCAGTTCCAATGATTATCTTTGATGCCATGTTGGGTGTCAAAAAGAAGGCAATGGGCAGGCTGATCATGTCTCCCTCAACTGTCTTGAAGTGGAGGTCTGTGTTGATATGACCAAGTGCAGTAGATTCCCCTAAGCCTTTGATCTGAAAGGTAGATCCATAGTTGATCCTTAGGTTGGGGAAATTGCTCTTGACATAAGCTGTGTCCATGAGAGATATGGAAGCTCCAGTGTCAATGCAAACTTCATGTATAGGCCCTTCTGGCTTGTTGATGGCACATGTGGCATAAGTGGGAGTTTTGCCCTGGTGAAGCTCATGAAGAGGGGCAGCAGTAGTAGGTTGTTCTTTCCTTTTGGATGGTGGCTGTTCCAGAACCTCAACTTCATCCAGGATGTCATCAAAATGTACCCTTTTCTTGGTGGTAACATTGTTGGCCTGATGAGGTTTCCATCTATGACCATCTGAGTAGGTGTTGTTGGGAAAAGAACCAGTCCTTTTAGTAAAAGGCTTTGCAGCTGGTTTCACTTGGTTGTGAGGACAATCTCTCCTCCAATGGTCTCCTTTGCAGATGGGACAAGGACTGGGAGGTTTGGTGCTTGAGTTGTTGGCCTGAGGTGTCCTAGGCTGGTAGGTGGATCTTTGTGGAGTAATAGCACCATTGTGAGGTCTGATAGTGGTGCTCCTCAGACCTGGTTCCAAGTCAATGAGAGTACGGCGGAACTCTTCCAGGGTGGTAAGGGAATTGACACTTGCTTTAATGAGGGGCCTGAAGTGCTGAGGTATCCCTTCCAGCATGTCATCAATGAGTTCCTTATCTGGAGTACCAGGAGGATAGACATAGTGTTGCAATGTCTGTTTGTCCTGGAAATAATCACTGAGAGTCTCATTGACTTTGAGAGTTCTATAGAGGCACTGTCTCCTGAGAGTGCTCTTGTGATTAGGCAGATAGAAGGCATTTCTCAATGCTGACTGCCATTGAGCCCAGGTGAGAAGAGTGTTCCTTTTCTCTCTGCCTAGTTGAGTGAACCAAGTAAGAGCCTTGCCTTGGAGGATCATAGGCAGTCTTTGCAGTAGTTCTGAATCCTGACAGTTGGAGAATTCAAAGATAGCAGTGACCTTTTCAATCCACTGATCTATGTCTTCACTGTCCCTGCCATTGTATTTGGGTAAGTCTGAAGCTTTGAGTTTAGACTTGTGGACAGAGTAGGACTCTGAGTGAGTGTCACTACGGGACAACTGTGGTTTGATGTCATAGTGATCACTGGGATGAGGAGAGATAGTGCTGCGCCGAGCTAAGTCCTCCCTGAGATTGATGTTTTCCTGTTGCACAGTATTTACTGTGTTCTGTAGCACAGCAAGTTGCTGCATGATCTGACTCAGTGCATCATCAGAGACTACAGCTGGAGTAGATGAGACTGCTGGAATGGTAGGTTGAGCATTCAAAGGTGGGGCAGATGGAACAGATTGGGTTCCACCTAGATGGCTATCCAATGAAAGGATAGGTGGGACAGGTGGATTCCTGGAAGGTTGATGCCTAGGGAACTGTCTAGTTGCCTGAGTTGTGTGCTGTTCAATCTGATGCTGAGATTCAGATGTGTCTGAGGAGCCAATGGCTAGAGGGTCTGGGGATTCTGATCCCATTGTGTAGGCTGCTTGTTTGCTGAGTTGAAACAAGAGATTTGAGACCTATAGTCTAGTTGTTGATCCTCTCTGGGATGTTGAAATGCTGCTTGTTTGCTGAGTTGAAACAAGAGATTTGGGACCTATAGTCCAATTGTTGCAACAATTCTTCCAAAGCTGCACTGAGTTTGGGTGAGACTGCAATTGACCAGCTCTCTTTAGGTCAAAGGTTGCAGGTGATCTAGATCTTGACAGCTATCTGAAGCCAGAAACAAGCTGTTGCAAGTATGTCAAATACTTGACACTGCGTCCAGTGGTTTGATTGGTGAGTTGTGAATGAAGAAGAGGTGTGTGGAGTGGATGAAGGGAGTAGTAATGTGTTGTTTTTGTCGGAGGTGTAGGCGAGTTGTCCGGGAAGCGCCCCCAAGTGTGATGGACCAAGCTTTCTTTTAAGGGAAAGTTAGGTTTCTCACAACTAATTTATCCGGTTCTCGCAGTTGTCTCAACACTTCTCCTTTAACAAACAATTATCTTACTCTCTCTAACACCCAGTGGAAGAAGCAACAAGGGTAGCTAAGCCTTGAAGGGATTGGCGAAGGTTGTTGTGTGTGAAGGTGACTTTGTTGTGCAGGAAGACACTAAGGTAGGGTCTTGTGACTAGGTAGTAAGATGAGTGAAGAGTAAAGAGGTAGAGTGTTGTACCCTGATCCCCTTCCTCCTGCCTCCTATATATACTCATGAGTAGACTAGGAGTACAAAGATAAGAGGTGGTTGTACGTTGTACAATGTACAAAGTACAATGTGCAATGTACAAAGTACGGAATGTACAAAGTACAAAGTACGGAATGTGAAACTATGTAGAAGGTACAAGTTGTTCCCCTGATCCTTTACATTGCCTTGCATTGACCAACCCCCACAGTCACCCAACTAACCTCCCTCTTCTCACTACCACAGGGCCAAACCCGGCAAGGGACTAGGATGCTGCGTTTCCTTTTTGCCTCGACAAGTTATCCTGACCTACTTGTAAATTCTTCTGCACCAAGCCAAACCCCTCAAGGGACTTGGATGCGGTCGGTTCTGTTTTCTCGCTGAAGCTAATCCGCTCAACCCCGTCCGGTTACAGCGCTACTCATTGGCAGCACGCTCAAACGGTAAGTCCCCACAGCCGGCACTGTTTCATATCATTGAACCCAGTCACTAACAACATGCCTCAAGACAAGGAGAAATGGTGCCTCTCATCATTATCCGCCGGTGAGCATCATTTGGCCAAACATACAAACGATCCTATATTCTATTTGCAGCAATCCATCGATTTTCATAGCAAGAATGAATCAATGACAAATACAAAAAGACCCAGCGCCAACCTAATGAGGGTCCAACCCAGCGTGCTCTTGACCTGATACTGGTACTGCTCCTCAATTCAAAGATTCATCCACTCTATGGTCACACCACCCCTCTCTGCTGCCATGATCATGGTCTCTCCCTCAAAGCGCAATTGCTGTTTGATGTTGTCAAGCTTGCGTGGGTTCAAGATTGGACTCAACATCTCAATGTGCTTGACTTTGCTGAGACCATTGGCCTCCTGCCAAAGCCATAATCCTTTCATTGTGCTACGTCGGCCAAAGACGTTCAGTATGGCAGGCTGAGCCATGTGACGGATGAAGAAGCAAGCACTCACAGTTCTTCTATCTTCAGGATCGCTCGCTTCTTATTCTGTTTGGCCGCTTGTTTGACCTTGAGGGCGGTGGTGATCTTGGCCTTGACATTGGCAGCAGCACCGTTCTTGGGGGCTGTCATCGAGCGAGATTAGATTGGTCGACAAAGCTAACTATCAAGCAAGAGTCACCGTTCTTCTTGGCAGCCATGTCAAGTGTTGAAGATGGTCTCGAGTCGGTGTACAAGTAAGGAGTATGAATGTGAGTTAAGGTTGATGAACTGGATTTGGAGTTTGTCAGGTTGTAGAGTTGGAGTAAACATACCAGTCATCTTGTTCTCAACCAATGTATATATCCCTCCATCGCTTCTTTACCACCAGTGACCTCAGCTGACCGTATGACCCCCAAAAGATCTGCAGTCTGTAGTTACCGGTCAGCTGCTATAAGGCTTGCCAGAAAGCCTGATTGGTAACACACGGGACTAGAAGGTACAGGTAGGGTAGTGACTGTAATAACAGATGTCTAACTACTACAGGATACTAGCTAGACATCTCCAAACACAACTCCTAATAGGTCTCCGAGAGTGTCTCCAAGAGTCTCCAAACCTCCACCACGCATGTGTGCGACATGTGCACCGCGGATGCCTGAAATAGCCGCCGACCTCAACATCTCAGCGGTTTTGTATTCAACCCAAAGACCCCTGCCTCCAGTGTCGTTTTTCAGGTTTGAAGGACTTCCGGTGATCTTTATGACCGGATTGGCACTTCACTGGAATTCCAATAGGGCAATGACGACAACAATAATCTATTGTTCACCAGGGTTTTCAGACATGTCTTTGGCAGGATCCTTCAGGTGGATGATTCAGCATCCGCCGTTGTTGTTCTTTCATTGCAACTGTGTTGAATGATATTGCAGTGGGTCGCCTCCATGTCTATATTGTTGGTCTCAACAACCAGAAAATGGTGTTGTTGTTGTTGTTGTTATTGTATCAGGTGTTGTTTCCGTGGTTGTGTGTATCCCTGCTGTGTCTTATCGGATACAAGAGTTGTTCCAACTGTCGATCGTTGCAACTTGTTGATTTTTGCGTCACTGGTGCTGCTTCTTCATTCTCTCAGAGAACAAATACCGATCGGCGCATGCCAATCGATCTGCCTTGTGGCATTTGGCTACTCACGCCAGATTTCTGCAGATATTGCAAGTTGCAAAGCCGGCTCCGTGTATAATATTTGATTACGCAGAAGGTCAGATCAGGGAGCCCACAGTTAATTGTATTGGCATACATCTAGAACTAACCATGTGCCACAGTCAACTATTCCTCACCGTCTTTCTCTCTGAGCCTTGAATGTGGGATCCAGAAGAGCTGACAAATTGGTAACAGGTTCATGAATGGAGCGTTGGCAGAGACGATGTTATGAGTCCAGAATGGTACCCTGCAGAACTGGACTTCTCCCAATGTCCATCCCTGGCGTCTCTTCCATTTACAGGCTTCTTGCTTTCCCCAAGAATCTTTGCATGCCATCCACGGGTTTTATATCAATGTTGCACAGTCTTCCGCACAATTGCAACACTTGCTTTGGGCCTGAAACCTGTTTGCCTGCATCTCACATCTTGGTGACCACTCTTGATCCTCTTGCATACTCTGGGTTGGTGTCTACTTCACCTTCATCTTCCAGGCCAATGCAGAGATTGATCCCAATCGAGGCCATCAAGCTGCATAGCATCCTCTTGACTGGTTATTTCTTGCGACCCGGTAAGAGCGGTGTTATAGTACCCGCGGTACGCAATTTCTTTGTAGGTTAACAGGTTTATTGACCTCTCAAACTGACGACTTGTGGTCAGGCCTTAACGTCATCTTGTTTTTTTTTCCCGGAAGCTCCTCTACGTATAGCGTCCTGCTCTCTACAACAAGCTTCCAGAGGTTCAACCAGATCGCAACCTCCTTCGGGTCCGTCGTTCCTGCGTGATCATCCGTTGCGAACCGTCAAGTAGATTCATCAGGCTAGCACTCCTGTAGGCTTCCAGGCACCTCTTGACGCACCCCACAAGTTTATCTTATGAATTCCCCATTTGAAAAGTTTGATAGCTAAAGAGTTGCCATCCAGATCCGTAAGTCGGGCCCTCTTATGGACTAGAAACCCAACACAGAGAAGAAGCCTTTTACGGATCTCTGCATCAGTTGCAGTCCATTGATAGTCCTAAGCGCAGCCACCATCATCAGTCTTTATCAATCGCCGGGCCATCCCCAAAAGCCGATCTACTTACCACAACAGAGCGTACTGGCTCATTAGCGCCAGGGGCGCATCGTCCCACTTGAACATCTCATCCGGAATGTCAAACATTTCATCTTGTACGACTGCAAAATATCAAGTCGATCATTTCTCGTCGCCGTCGTCATATGAGTACAACGGCAAGAGCCAATTGTTTGTCATTGCTTACCTGTATTTTGCCTTATCAAGCCCACTTCCGCCTGGAGCTGTTCAAGTTCGCAAATTTGCTGAGAAGGTGGTGCTCCGGGATTGCAGATGGCTTCGATCAAGGTGTCCTTTTCTGCTTGAACCTTTTTCATGTCCTTTGTTAGCTTTTCCGCCTCTTCAGTCTTCTTGCGCAGGGCTTCAGCCGAGGTCTGCCTTCCTGCTTGAACCTTTTCCAGGTCGTTTGGGAGCTTTTCCGTCTCTTGAGTCATCGTCCTTGGGTGTTCTCAAGGGACCTCTGATGGGAGTTACCGTACGGAGTATATCTAGAACACGCCCTATGTAGTTGCTGTAATGTAGTACTGTTGTGCTACATCTGTTACTACATTCATTACCTTACTCCTATCTTCTAGTCCCGTGTGATACTATTCCAGGTTTGCAGGCCAGCCTGATAAGCGGGCCAAAATAGCAAACAATACTGGTTTGAATTGGGGCTGGTAAGTCTTGAGCAGACAGGCTGGATCGTCATCGCTGACGTCAACTCCAACAGCTTACCTGTCAGCTCCCTCAATATTTAGAGCATCAACGGGAGGATGATGTGGATGAATTGCAGGACAATGTTGAACTTGGCCCAATTGTGGTACTTGATGGGATGTTCATGAAGAGGACCGTACAGGATCTCAAGGCATAGTTCACCACTGTGTGAATGTGGGTTGGGTCATTAGCTGCAACCTTGATGTTAAACGGAATGGCCTGCTTGCCAATGTGTGTGATTCCGGCTCTTGTTATTGCGAGTGCTCTGTCTATTTGCCCTGTACATGTCCTTGGTATCGGATTTGTTGTCCCAACATACCTTATTGAGCTGGTTGCCGTATGTTCAATCACTGCACACACAGAAGGGCACACTGGTAGCGCAATGCCAAACTGCAAACCTGTTGTCAAGGTGGTAAGTACGAGTTGAATCACCTCTTCCAGCGTCCATTGATCAGTGTTCATTGGGTGAAACAGGATTCGACAAGCTCATCAAGACCACATATGACGATCCTTTCTTTGAGATTCTTGCAGTAAGATAGAGCTTCCCACAGGTCATTTCAATACCCCACCCAACATACCTTGATCAAGAGACCGGAAATCTTCCATCTCTTCTTCCAACATGAACTGCTCGTACCGGCGACGCAAATCTCAGAATTCCTGCATGAATCTAAGATCTGCCTCAGTTGGGCTGGATATAGGAATGTTGAAAGCGGGAAGGACGGGCGCAGGAGAGTTTACAGCGGGAAGGGCTTGTGTTGGGGAGTGGTAGAGCACACTAAGGCTTCTCCAGTGATAAAAGGGATCACAGGTGCCCATGTCAGAGGAAGGTAGGTTTCTGGCTGGTATGGAAGCAACCAGTGACCAATCATTGATGAGCCAGCGGCGCATGGTCAAAAAGTCAAAAATGTGAAAAATTACAACTCAAAAAGATACAGAGTTTACCAATTACAAAGCGCTGATTCCATCTTACAGCTTGAGGAGACTTGCTTCTTGACGCAGATCTTCTATTGTACTGCAAGATTTTGGGGTGAGTAGCAAGTTGATACAAAAGCATGACAAGCTGCGGTCTGAGTGGTCCGAATTGGAGTGATCAGCAGATCGTCTTATGGGGTTTCAAGAGATAAGGATTGTGGCCACAAGTGATAGCTGGGGATCCTTTCAGTGGGCTCAAGAACTCGTGATGGACACCTTGAGCTCGTGATTAACGCCTTGTACTTATGCTTATAGCCTGGCTATTGTTACCCTCAAACTGCCAACCGGTGCCGCTGTGTCCCCAGTTGCCGCCATCAGACCCTGGGAACAGTCGGAGCTGTGAGTTTGGTTGTTGTAGCTCATGCTGTTGCTGTCAAGGGATTTATTGTTGTGATGTGCCCCTGTGTCCCCAGTTGCCGCCATCAAATCCTTGGAACAGTTGTAGCTGTTGGTTTGGTTGATGTAGGTCCACAATGCTTCAAAGTAGGCAGACGGCCCAAAGATTCGCTCGACTCTGTTCAGCGTTGGCTTGAGCTTGGTATAAAAAACATTCCAACAAGAGACGGTCGATGCTGAGAGGGAGGACGACAACAATGAGAGAGGAATTGAGGAAGGTATATATGCATATACGTAATGTAGGAGATAGAAAGATGCATAGACGACAATGGCAAGTCTGAAACGAAATGGAGATCGACAACTACATCGTTGGGAGCGACTGCATTAGACATCCCGCTGAGAAGCTCCAAGTGCAAGTATACTAAATACTTCAGGGTACAATGATCTCAAACCTCTGAAGCCACAATCACCTTGTTCTCAACCCCCAACTTCACATCACTCGTACCTCACAATACTTGACTGCTCTAAAATGTACTCCCAAACCACCTTGCCACACAAACAACACCTTCTCGACCATTTCTGGATCGGCCTTCCACAATCCTCAGGAGGCAAGCCCGATATGCTTGCTGTATACGTATCAATGAAAGGAATTGTGTGTTCGGCAAAGTTGCGCGTACTTGCATGATCATCCTTATGATTGCACATGCTCAACCTAGGCTGGAGAGCTAGTTAGAAGAGGACAACTAGAACAGGACAACAAGATAGGCCAGCCTACCGGATGATACGTTGTACAATACCTGGTTACTGACCCGGTCGACACCATACACCTCAATCCCTGGGTAACAGAGGCAAGGTCCCAAAACCTCACCCAAATCCTCAAGTTACTACCTTTTTTTCCAAAGCTGCATAGATGTTTGTACTGATTCTTACAGCAAAAGCACATGCAGGTGAACCATCAATGTCCAGAGGAGCGATTTGGTTTTCCATATCGTCTTTGAATAGCTTGTTGTCAGGGTTCTTGGGAATGCAAAGGTTATATTGTTCGTTCCCTTGCAAGGTGATTGCTCCAAGTTGGCTTACAGTGAAGGCGATTTTGTTTTTTCCCTTGGCCATATTGTAGATTTTGAGGCGGTGAAAAGGGTGTATATTTTGTGATGGTCATGCTATGCAGGGGCTGGAGTCGGATCTCTAACAGATCGGCAAGAACATGTCAAATAATTGAAAGAAATCACCTCCACACAACGTCATTGATGACTGACAAGTGCACAATTGTTTGAACCAGGATGATCTACATTCCTTGGCCGCAGTCAACCCCTACACTCTGCCACCATCGACGACGTCAAGAATGTCGACTTGGTGGACGATGCCGCCTGGGCCGCAAGATTGGCAAGAAAGATCTAACAGTGCCCCTGGATCTTGGAGAACTACAGCCAGATTGGCAATGCCGTCACCAATGACTTTGAACCTCTTGGACCAGGTGAGGTTGCTTGATGCTTTGTGAGTTCTTGGCTCTAGCACTGTCTGATATTGCTATTTATTGGTATCAGTCCAGCCACTTCTTGCAAACCACGATTGCATCAGAGTGACCTGTTGCAGTGTACTGGCAGATGAAGAAGAAGCAGCCCTTGCACATAATATTCAAGGGCTCAAAAACGACAAGTGGTTGCAAGAATTGCTGATGTTGGGGCAAGGCAATAGTGCTTGATTTAGTCTGCTACCCCGTCCAGGTCATTGCCACAAAGCCGTAAGGGATGTCTTTTGAATCTTTGTGGGGTCGACTTGAAGGTTGTGGATGATGGCCATGGTACACCAGACCTGAGGGTTGCTGTTGAGGAGGTCCTTGACACCGGGTCAATTTGAGGCCATCTTGTAGATAGTTTTGTAGTAGGCGTACCAGTCTGGTGCTATTCTAGCATACATAGTGTTGATGAGGTGACAAGCTGGAGCCAGTGCTGCATAGAAAGCACTAACATGTGTCTGAGCCTTGTTTTTACTGTCTTGATGAGTATCTTCGGTTTTGCCAAACGTTTTGGCAAACGAATCCACCTATTGTCTGAAATGCCTTAACCCCTCACAAGCGCCATTCAGACCCTTGTTTTCCCTCTCTGCTTGATGGCAAACATCTAAAGGAGAACCGAGATTGACTCGTATGACGCGTCCCGTTCTAATCATATTGTCGATCCCGGTAAGGTAGCAAAGAGCATCAGGGACTAGATTCCGGATTTGCTCCTGTAAACTTTCCATCATCTTAGGGAAGTCGGCAACATTAAAGCTCAACAGACCTTCAAACACCCACACAAGGTCTAAACCTTTGGCAGAACGAAGCTGATAAGAACCGCTCCAACCTCGTCATTGAATCTGCCGATCATCATTCTGCGTGGCATCTTTTTTTGCAACTTTCGACCTATCTAGATCCAAATGAGATACAGATCTGAATCATTCGATTTTGCATACATTGGCAAGCATCACAAATCAGTTAGTATCCATTCGTTGATGCTAACTTTGGCTGTTTGCAAGCCAGTGCAAAAAGACTACATCAATTGCCAGCCTGCCTTGAAAATCATGTCAAATCAAAATGCTGATGTCAGGTATAGCTCTGCTTCTATAATCATCCAGAAGAAGGTTGCCAAGGCTGTGGTATCGGGACAGAATATTCTTTGCTTGTAACTTACAATTGAATGAAACTGACCTTGATCTGGCTCCCAGGTGTGAAGCACAGGCCGCACTTCCCGACCAGAGTCAAAGATGTGATGTATGGTAGTGAATGGAGCACTTGCCAAGGTAGGCAGATGGGATAAGGTGGAAAATGTTTGATCTAGTTTGCAATGGCTTTTGTGCTCGTGCACTCTCAATAATGTCGAGCATCTATCCCACCTGTGACCGCAACTATCCTCCTAAGATCATGGGGACGGAACAGGAGTGAAAATACTTGTCATGCATATCAACGAATTCAGAAGATGTTTGCTGATAGACCAAGCCCTAGAGCGGCAAATATGAAAGCCGAGCTGTAAGCCAAGACAACACCTCCGGAGGTTGTGGAAGATGATCCATCCGCTGTTGTTGAAGCCGATGACGCAGATTTGGTCTGCTGACTCTTGGAAGAGGGTAGATCTGTGCTGGTGGTTATACCAGCGCTCGTGGTGGCTCCAGAAACACGCGCCGTACCGGTAGCGGCTATTGTCAATTGCCAGATTTAATTAGCCTTGTGTAGCCCTTTCTTCTGCCAGACTGGCACTTACTTGAATTCTGGGTAGAATTCTGTCCGCCAACACATCCCACTGCAGTGGTTTTCAAGTTCTGCTCAATGTGAAGTGTGACTTCAGCTGCAGGTAGATCCCTGTCCTGCTCCAAGTCTGAACTCACCTGTATTTCCCAACCTGCAACATACATGTTCTGAGCTGCAACATCTGCACTGCATCCAGAAACACAATCATACATCTTGTTCTCATCATCTGGTCTGTACCCGAACAGAATGTTATGAGTCACAATCAATGTAAAGAGCCTAAAGAGAGCACTAGCTCACGTAGGGCATGTGATTGCGGCGGTAGCATTGAGACCCTGCAGACAGCCACCAACTGGTTGGGATATAGTAGACACGTCAGTCAAGTTCACATGCCATGCAAGTAGACCGCTACATACCACATCCCCAATCATAAACGCCCACGTCCACTGCAGGGACGGTCGATGTATGTTGTGCAGCTGCCCAATGGCCACCAGACAGCAAGGTGAAAAGGAGAATTGGTGAGGCAGATTGTCGCTTCATGCTATAAATGTGATGATGCAGCTTTGAGCAACAAGAGAGTTGACGTCTTCACATGTATTGACAGCTCACCTGGCTTGAACCGGTCTATATCCTTGGGATTTTCTTGTAGTACTGTGATGAAACACAGGGAAAGGAGGTTTGCGTTTCAGGCAATTGGGGCGGGATGTCTATGAAAGGAGGGTCAGTTTCAAACCCATGAAACGCGGAGTTGGCATCCATTCCTGTATGGCATCAGGAGAGATTGCTTCATCCATCTAGCTCCTTGGCTATCTTCCTCACTAATCACCAAGTAGACGAATCACTTTGTGGTTGTTGTAGTGCAAAGTACCAGTCGTGCTTGCCGTTCATAACGTAACGCGACGGACACGCTCCCACCCTTGACCTCCGTCGAAGACCTCGACGGGGGATTCGCGCCCATCAGTCCCGGCGTTTGAAGTATCACTGTGACCGAGGGAGCGGAAGCGGGCGATTTGACACGAGGAACGGGGCGAGAGAGGGGGTGGATGGATGGAAACAACGTGGGCCGAGGGGATGGGGGCATCCGACCAGGCCGGAAGCGAGCGAGCGAGGTCGTCGTCGTCGGTCGAGGTCGATTCGCGAGGTTGCAGCATCTCTGGACGTGAGATCGTTTGCAAAACGACGTTGCATGTATAGGCGAGGGACGTCGAGCTTGCACCACCAGTTGATCACTAGTTTACTAGCTTACTAGATCGTTCATCTTGACACTCATACCCGTTCAACCCTGCCATCGATTCATCGATCGACTCGTAACTGGAGGGATCACTCCGTCGATCTGGTCCGCGATCACGGAATAGAAGCCCTCAAGATTCATTCCACCAGCAACCTTGCCAGACTTCATCAGCCAAAAGCTCGCATGTCTCGCAGCGGATAACATCAAGTTCACTACGGCACCCTTTGGGAAACGCTCGTGATCACGCCTTGCGTGCAACCGATCCAAGCACCTCATCTGCGAACCTGGACGATTTCGACATTCCTTTGTCACAAAGGGAGGACCTAGGGCACCCAGAGCAGAGAAGCGGTCATCAGGATCATCAGGCTTGAATCAAATCGATCATTTCACTCTTTTATTTCATTCACTCAAGTCCGAACCCATTTCGATCTTTGCCATTATCGCAAGAAGCACTCTTGCGACGTTTTTACAATACAGCCTCCGCTGTTCGGAAACGACACTCGTCTGGTCACCTTGCTGAAAGGGTTCGCCTTTCTCCTGAAGACAATCAGAATCGACTCGTTCAAATCAAGCAAACATGGCCACCTTGACCGTTCAAAATGCTCAGCCTGGCTTGGTCCCCGCGAGCTCATACCTGCATACTACCAGCCCGAACGGGAGCTCAACTGGTACACACCGTGACGAGCCATATATCAATTCGATGTCTCCGTCACCGGTACCACTCCACGGATCAAACCACGCTGGACCGATGTTGGGGATGCAGTACGATGGGGGCATGCCCAGAATGAGCAATGCTGGCCGAAGAGCCTCGTCTCCGGCGGCGCTCTATCAACAGGGTCAAATGATGTCGTTCGCCGCTCCGAGTAACATGTACTCGAATGGCAATGGCTACGGCCAGCCAGCAGTGGTGCCGCCTGCTGGCACCAACCCCCTTTCGACATTCCTAGTCGATAGGCCTCCTCTGCCCAATCATTCGCTTTCGCATTCGGTCGGACCCTCGGTGCCCATGTGGCAGCAAGGCACCGCTTCGATGCAAGGGCGAGCCACACAGAACGGGATGAATGCGAGCAGTTTCCGACGAGGCAGTCTCGGTGGTCATCTGGCGACACAGCAAGAGCATGCTGCGTCTGGGTACAGCAACAACGACGTGCATCCCACCCTCGATTTCCATCATCAATTTCATCATAGCACGATGTACGATACTTATCAGGTACATTTGCCTTTTTTCCGTTGTCGATCGCATTATGATGTGGCTGAGAACACTTGCTTGATTCAGGTCAAGCATCGCAAGCGGACATCACCGGAGCAGCTGTCTGTCCTGGAAAAGTCGTTCGACGAGAATTGCAAGCCGAGTGCGGTGACGAGAAAGCTTCTGGCCGACCAGATAGGAATGACTCCGCGCAGCGTTCAGGTCTGGTTTCAGAACAGGTAAGAACGCTCGTCTTCTTTGCGTGCACCAGAAGCAGATCTGATCTGATCGGCCTACCTGTTCCTTTCCTTTTAGACGCCAAAAGCGGAAGATGTTGGAGCGGAAGAAGGCTGAAGAGGATGACGCAGATGACGAAGAGCCAGCCGCGACTCAAGGCTTTACGTCGATGCTGCACATTCGTGGTGAACACGATATGTCTGGGAATGGCCATCACTTGGAGGCGATGCGAGCAAACGAACTGGACGGCTGGAGTAGCCGACATCCGCTATATGACGCTCCCGAAAAGAACGGTCATTCAGGGCCAGCTGCGGCGGCCGGATCGGACGCCGTTGCGGGCCAGAATGCCTCGCTATATGGATATCCTCGTGGTCAACCTCCTCATCCCCAGAACCCGGCTCGATACGGACACTCTACGGTACCCGGTCGACGGGGTAGTCTTCCTTACCCTCCACCCATCGTGATCAATGGTAGCAACCGCCTGGTACCGCAGACGGAACGACCCACCAAATCTCAGATTCCAATGCATCTGGCGATGACGCTTGGAGGTCGACGAGCCAGTTTGCCGGTCAACTCGCGGTCTTTCTCGTTGGGGTCGTTTACGCCACCAAGAAATGGCGCTCCATCACAGAGGCTACCCATGCCGAGCAAACGAGAGCTCAGCCCTATCGTGGATCAGGACCCCCAGCAGCCTTTCGACACGTCTTTGCTCACGGCCTTCTCCCCAGACGAGATGCATCCCCCGGTCGATGGCATTTCGCTTTACAACGGATCTGTACCTGGACCGCTTCCCAACCCGGCCTTCTCGTTTGGCTTCAACGATCCAAATGCTCCACCGATAAACGTCAACGACTCTGCACTGCCGCTGATGACCCCCTTCGCGGACCACCACGGTTTACCCTCTGCCAACTACATGTACCGCGACCGTATCGGCAGCATGACGAGCATATTCAGTCAAGAGACAACGGATTCCAACGCGGATACGATCGGCGAATACCCTTATATGGGAAACTTTGATCAGGACGGGGCGAGGATACTGCTGCCGGATGAGAACCTCATGCTACCTATCGAGTTCGACTCGAATGCCAGGCGGGCTTCTGCGTGAGTGCGGCGTCATTTTGCTCGATGTTTGTTGAGCTCATTATGGCGATACAATAGCCCGGCGGATCTACTTCAGAAGGTCAACTTGTCTTCGGACAACAAAAAGCGGCAGTCTCCGCTGAACCAGTCATTCAACTTTGGCTCCAATAATGCCGTGCCGAATGAGCATATCTCAGAGTCTTCAAACGGGCATGCGAGCGATCATTCAGGCGTGAGTCCTAGCGCGTCCAGACCGCGGAGCGTGTGTCAACTCACGAAATTCGTTCTCATCACGACAGCATCTATCTTCGATCGGATCCTCCATCGTCAACGGAGACCAACAGCCTTATATATATCCACTCACCGCACTGCATGATCACGGGGGTTTGCAAAGTCAAGGTCTAAATGATCTAGCTTTTCACGAGCAAGTCGGGGGCACAGCAGCATATCAAAGATCGTCGTTGGACAATTCAGAGTCATGGACAAATGGCGGTTGGCAATGAGGCATTTGTTTCGAAAGCAAGACCTGGGGACAATTCTGAGGTTACTTCTTCTTGGGAATGTTGTAAGGCGTCCGAAAGGTATCAAGTTGTATTCGAGGGCGTTCGTCGCATGTAGACATGTATCACTTTATCTACCTACATATAGGACGAGACGGTCACATAGGACAGAGATTGCAATCCTATCGCTCAAGCAGGAACACCGCTGGAACCCTGTGCAGCAGTATCGGTGAAACGATGCCACCTATCGTTGAATTGAACATCTGCAAGAAGGAAGACAGATGGATAGGTTAATCGCTGGTATACGAGGTTCGCCCAGAAATCGTTAGCTCACCCAAGGGACGGCCTCCGTAAACGTAACCGGTGAACTTTTGGCAGGCTTGTTCAGCCTCTTCGACCTCTTTGAACTGAACGACTCCGGATCCTTTCGAGCGGGTACCTTCATAAAGGATTTCGGCTAGGACGACCTGGCCGGTAGTCTCGAAGAGTTCGACCAAGTCTTCGTTGGATGTTGACCACGGCAACTGCAGAAGGTGGAAGCGTCAGCTTGGATTTTCACTAGCCTTCCGTCCTGTGTAAAGTGACATACGTTGCGGATCATGATCTGCTTGGAAGGCTCCACGGCTCCAAGAGGAGCTTGACTACTTGCTGGACCGGTAGGGATCCTGGCCCCGCCTTCGGGACCATTGTAGTCGGCATAGAGGTCGTTGGTAAAGTACCTGCCATTGACACCTGGTGGCGCCGCTCCGGCGAAACCTCCGGCGAACCCTCCCCGACCTGCGAAACCACCTCGGCCCATGAAGCCACCTCGAGGAGCGAAACCACCGCGACCACCTCGGAAGGAGCCAGAGCCAGCGAATCGGTCCTGACAGAGCCACAGTTCGTTCAGAGCCTGTTCAGACGGTCAGAAGATTTAGGTCGCAGACGTACAGGTCGCACTTGGAGGATCGAATCCTGCCAGCTGTAGCCGTTGAAAGTCTCTGCAAACAGGTCGATCCTTCCGTCAGTCCGATGTCTCGTGGACCTGGGACGCCATGCCAAATTCCACACCACTCACGAACTGCATTCTTAGCATCCTCGTGTGTCTCAAAGACCACAATTCCTGTCCCTTTGGGTCTGCCATCAGGGAACATGGCAACATCGGCACGAATGATAGCACCAGCCTCTCGGAAGAGGTCCTTCATGTCTTGCCAAGTAGCAGTGTGCGGCAGCTGTCTCGATCGTAGAATGAGGAACGGATCAGGCAGGACTCGAGGCTTTAGTCTGGCTTACGTTTCCGACAAACAACTGCCTGTAATCGGCAGGCGGTCCTGCAGCCGCACCGCCGAATCCTCCAGCCATAGCCCTACCTACGGGACGAGCCTCGCCGAAAGCCGCCCCGATCTTACCAGGGACGGGCGTGGAGCCGAATCGAGCCTCGGCTTCTCGGTCCTGCGACAAAACAGAGAATCGGTTCAGTTTGGGTGACATCCGGACGCGACTTTCTCAAAGTCTTCACGACACACCTCTCGAATGAAGACGGGTCTTCCAAAGAGCATCCGTTCGCCCAGTCCCTTTATGGCTCGTTCAGCCGACTCGTGGTCGACATACTCGACGATACTGTGCGGGTAGGAACCGATCATTCATTAGTCATGATCATCACATCGCCGTCTGGCGTATCGAACCAAGCGCTCACCCGCATCCTTTCGATTGGCCAGACGGCGTCACAAAAATTTCCGCAAATGCCACCTCTCCAGCTATGTGGCCGATAAATCCAAATGATCCATCCCCAAAATCCCCGTCAACAAACTCCTCTCTCAATCTCGATGCCTTTGCCGGGACCGGTCTCCAGCCGGGGCTCGCTGTCTGGGACGCAGTGCATCCGTTACACCACGATGCCATATCCGCTCGACTTCTCGTCTCGACGATGATCATGATGCTGATGCCTGCATCCCTGCGTCTCTTTTTCTCTCTCTTATCTTGCGGCAGCTACCCCGGCGGATGACCAGCTCATATCGTTCCACCCACCCTCTTTCATGTAGTCCGTCAAGTCCTTGTAGGTAGTCGCATAGGTCAGGTTGCCGCAATAGACCCTGTTCTCCTTGACGCTCTGTTTGGCGTGAGCCTCGGCTTCTTCGGCTGAGGCGTTCATCGGACCTCCTTGACTTCTGGGAGGAGAAGGCCTGCGGTGGTACTCTCGTTCGTCGCGACGTTTGTATCGGGGACTCCTGGAGCGAGATCGATGGGTCCTTTGTCGGCGATCACGGGAATAGGATCGAGAACGTTGGCGATATGATCGACGCGGTGGGGAGCGAGAACGACTAGGACTCCGACGTCGATGCTATAGTGATATTGTGTGAGCCCGATATACAGATTGAAGAGCGTGTGAACAGGGTGTAGTGGGATTTGAGGTATCGAGTCGTGCTCTCGACCTATATAGCAGGCTCGCAGTAGACCAGAGAGGGTCCCTTTTCGGATCGCTTTCGTCATGTGCACCAGTCATACGACCTGAAGTCGATAGTTGACCGGAACCACGAGAAAAGGACTTTACGGTCAAGGATGACCTCTCTCTCATTCTCGGGACTTACCGAGTCGCGTTCCCTACTCCTGCTTCGCCTTCGCTCTGGCTCCCTATCTTCTCGTCGACTCGATTCTCGAGGACTCCTCTCCCTCTCATCTTCTCTCCTCCTATCGGTCACATCTATGTGGGAACAGGAAGTTGTGGTAAAGGAGCCGTGTGAGCTCGTTGACCGTTGTGTTTGCTAGTCAGTTCAAGTTCGCGAGGTCGAACCTTCCATATTCGCGTCCGTGTCCATCGTTGCTGTCCGTATTGTCAACTAAGCGACTAGTGTAAGAATCCAACTCAAGAAAGCGATGTGTGGAGAGAGTATGTATAGGGAGATGTGTACGATACGATATCGATCCATCGACCCCAGGCCATGACCGTCTGTTGCAGTCGCATGACGACGACGACGACCGCTCTCGAGTACTCTCAGACGCGCGTGGATGCCATGTGACGCGTGAGAAAGCGGGGATGCTCTAGTGCTCTGCCTTGTATTCCAACCAGAGTCTCCTCACAACCATATCATCCGCCATCTGTCTCAATGCTTCACAAGTCCATTTGCGTCATCTTGGCCACCTCATGGCCCAGACTAGCCATCCACAATGGGTTAGAGGGGGCCGCACTCATCCAAATGGCGTACGCTTTGAGCTCCAGACTCGCTTCTTCTCGATGAATGAAATCGAGACACCGATAGTCGAGGAACGATTGGCCAAACATGAACGTCGGTTTGATGGTGTCCATGCCGATCCTTGTTCCTGTTGTGGCCACCAGCTGGTGACCTGAGGAGAGGATGGCCAAGACTGGACCGGGAGTGTTGATTGAATTGTAGATGACAACAAGCATGCAGCCCGCAATAACGAGGAAGAAGGCAGGATCCAGCGTTGTCTGCTCAGAGAAGCTCCCAGCGGTCTGTATGACAAAGTTGCCTTCGAATCGTTCGACATTGAGCTTGCTGGATCGATCCATGATGCCCGGTGCGGCGTGAGCTTGCGCTTCAGAGCTATGAATCTTGACCGGCTGGATGTTGGGCATGGCGGTAGCTCTCTCTACTCTGATGCACACGCGCGTCTGGTCTGGACCAGCCACGCAGATGGCAAACAGTCGAGGGAAGAAGTGCCTGCAGTATTGTCGCCAGGCTTTACTGAACGAGGCCATAGACAGTTCAGGGAAAGGCGCTTTGTTAACGTAAGGGCTAAAGTGTACGGCCAAGACCTTGGCAAGCCGTCGACCCGCAAGTGCAGACCTTTAAACACGCAGCCATTGTTGCGCAGGCGCAAGCCATCTCGTCACGCCTCTCTTGCCAGTCGTGCTCACATTGCTCCTTTCCATGACCCCTCTCCAAAACATGTCTTTTTGGGAGATAACTCTCTGCCCTTGCAGGACACGGCTATCCCGTTCAGCCGCTGACCACGTTGCGCCATGTCAATCCTTTCGATACAGGCGGCGTCTGGCGTGGTGATGTAGCAGTTGGGGACACGGGGGTCACTGGTCCTTGGATGAAACGGTGGACCGGGCTATATATGCAACAATTTGACATGCGGTGTGGGGCTGCGACAAACGACCACCCTGACAGCTTAGTCGCAATACGATTAGATACATGTGATGGATGTCATGCTGTTCCGCTTGGTCTACCGCCGTGGCGGCGAGACAAGCGGGCTAGTTCCCGTCTATTCGCTCGACATGGTCTGTATCCACGTCCGTCCCGCCGCGTCTCCCTTCAGATCTTCCATCTCTGCATAGATACTCCGCTCAGGTAGACCGGTAAACCTCCCTTGTACGTCGGGAGCCTGCATGGCGGCACCGACGACGTCGATCCATCGTCTTCGAGCTTCCATGGCTTGCTTGACGTTTTCGGGCAGAGGAACCTTTTCACCAGGCCGACGCGCCGAATTGCCGTCTTCCCGATGACTGCTCGACTTTTGCTTCTTGTTCTTTCTCGCCGAGCGCTTCAACCAGGTGCTCTCGATCGCCTTTTCTAATCCTTCCAGCGTCTTTTCGTAGCCGCCAAAGGCGAGCCGGTCCTTGACCAAGCCGGTCAATCGTTCTTTACGGGCATTGTTGCTCGCGATCTGGTCCCTGAGCGCACGCTGACATTGCCGTAGCGCTGCGGCGATCTCGTCGTCTTCTTTCCGTGTCCAGTCGATCTGGTGTCAGGTGAATGACAGCATGGTCAGTATGGAGAAGACACTAAGGCATGGTAAGCAAACTGACCTCTTCGTTCGCATCAAGTAGACCGAGATGCCGAAGTTCTCGCTTGACCCCCTCCTCTGTCTCGCCTATAGTTGCATTCATCATGTCGAGCCGTGTCGGCTGGCCCGAAGTGGCGACCCCATTTATACGTCGGGGCGCGATCGGCCAAGTCGCACCAGTTTCAGATACAGGCTTTCCAGCGAGTCTCCCATTCCCCGCCCGTGGTTCCATGTCTACATCCTGCGCCGGTCCTATTCCCGGCTCGCCTTTGACCACGACTTCGTGCGTATCCTTCTGCACACCGGTCTCGCCTGAAACATCTCCCCCGTGCTTCAACCGGTGTCCTTCCCAGAGCCCTGCTACAATCCGCTCTTCCAACAACCCTGGACCTTTCCGCTCGTCCCTAAGATCGGCCTCGTTCAGATCTTTCGGGTGAGCCCGTCTCAAACCCTTCCCGATCCTGTTACCGAGCGCATCACGCTCCTTCTCTCTCTGAAACGCTCCCGATGCCATGTTGGCCGAGGTCACCCAGGCCTGATTCGAAGCCTGGCTGAATGGCAACTGCATGTCCTCCTCGTCCCAAATATCTTGATAATGTCGACCGAGAGCAGGCATATCGTAGATGCCTCGATCGTCGGGTCTGAACGTCAACATGGCGACGTCTTCCTCGCCGACATCGCGAATGTACGTCTCGATCCCGGACCAGAACGTGCTCCACTGTACAGTCTGAGCGACGTTTTTGACCGTCGAAAAGTCTTGGTCGACGTCCTTTTGACGCCGGGGTTGAGGAGGAGCGGGAGCGGGAATAGGTTGGCGAGGCGGGATGACGGATCGTGATGAAGATGCATGAGTCGTCGGGTTGGTAACGCCGGGACGTAGGGGGGAAAAGCTGAGATTGGGATTTATGAATTGCTGTACCGAGTGGTCCGAGCTGGAGGCATTTGGGCTGTTGACTGTAATGGCCTGTAAGACTCGCAAATCGTTTTTAGTATTCTTGCCTCGATGTTTCGCAGTATCGAATTCGACGAACCTTGTTATTACTGATCTTCAACTTGATCTTCGGCGCTCCACCGGTCGAAGCGGATAAAGGGAGAGATGGTCGAGGGGAAGGAATCCGATTGTCCAGGTGCGGAGGGCCTGTTGTCAAGGTCGACAGCGAGGGGGAATCTAGTCGGACTGAACGGACGCTCTGCTCCCTTTCTCTCGGCGGTACAGAGGCTCGTTCGATTACGGGGTCGACATATGGGCTTGATCCACGGTGACTCATTTCCCGGAGCGGTGTCTCTGGGCTGAGCTCGTGCATGACCTTGCGTTTCTTCTTCTTGTGCACCGCGCCTGGCACGGGTGTCGTGCGGTTCGGATCGTTGGCGAGAGCATGTCGAACGGAGGAAGATTCCGTAGGGTCAGGAGAGCCTGCAGGGAGGAAACACCAGGTCGAGCTTGAATTAGGATCATGAGACAGAGATGGTTTAGTAGCGATTCCTCATGAACTGACCAGATAATTCGCGTTTGATCCTCGGAGCTTGAACTGGACTCTTCACCGCTACATTCCCCGCCCAGTGACCATGCCCGTTTGCCTTCCTCTCGCCTTGAGATTTGGACGCTGAGTCGACATCGCGGGGAGTTCCCGACGAATGTCGGTACGGCGTGTCCTTCTCCTTGCTCTTGATCTTTCTCCCTTCATCCTGACCGACATGACTCTGTTCTGCCTTGCCACTAGAGATATGGAGTTTCAACTTCCTCCTGGCTTTTGTTGTAACCTCGGATCCCACTCGGACTCCCTCTTGTGACGATTCGACTCTACGGTCGGCGTTCTTTTTCAAGTTGTTCAGGCCCGTCTGGAACACTTCTAGCAGGCTGACGTCGGGCACCTTGTCGACGACTTGACTATCGAGTGGACGAGAGATGTACCTCTCGAGGGCGAGAGAGACTTTCGGGTCGCCGGGAAAAGCGGACGACATGGCCGGTGGGTGTTGTCGTCCAGTGTCCAGTCCGATTCAGTTATGTATATACACCTCAGCCGGTCTGATCGACGCGATCGTTGCCGACGTAGCGACCGAGATACAGTGCGATCAGTTGTAGCCCGGTTTATGTGAGAGGAAGTCGACAGAATGTAGCTCTATGCGTCCGCTGTTTGCTATACAACGGTCGGCACGTCTGATGCATCCTGATCAAAGGTCACCGGGGGATGGTCGTACGTTGTTGTAAGTTACGTGAGGCCGACTCATTATCGCTCAGGGCCGGCTCCACGAGGCGCGCGCGACTTGAGAGCTTGGATCGAGTCGTAGGGTCAAGGTAGCACTCGACGTACTTGCAACTTTGCGACTACATCGTGACTCCGTCTTCCATTTCGAGCGTGATTACCGAGCTATAGCAAGCATGTCCAGCAGCAATATTTCGTTGAGACAGACGATCGCCCTTACCGCGGTCGGGACGGCTCTAGTCACGACAGGGGCCATTATCGGAGGGCAAGCGATACGACGTTATGCTAGGACGGAAAAGCTCAAGGAGAGCGTCTATGAGGATTTCAAGGAATCGGACGAACCGTGGACTTCTGGCCCAGGAAATGGCGATGTCGATCTGTCTCTGACCGACAACGGCCCTGTGCGGACGGATCCTAGTCAGAGGGAATGGGAAAAGGGGCAGTTCGACGAGGATCTGATTCGGGAACAGGTGAGTTTCGTGTCTCGATTCGTCTCGGGTCCTTGTTACTGATTCCGAAGAACAGCTCTCTCGGAATTATAGCTTTCTAGGGGAAGAGGGCATGGCTAAATTGCGAAACTCTTACGTTGTCATAGTGGGTTGTGGCGGTGTTGGATCGTGGTGCGCTCTGATGCTCTTGAGAAGGTGAGCCAAGAGACGGTGTAAAGGTCGATGCCTTGACGCGGAGCTGAGCAGTTGATGCGTCCATAACCTATGACAGTGGTGTTGAGCGTCTGCTCTTGATCGACGTGGGTGCGACGTTCTTTAGTAGTAGGATGATGCACGCAAACTCACATTTCCGAATCTGTCAGTTCGATATGACAACCCTCTCGTCCCTCAACCGGCACGCTGCAGCAACCATGGAAGATGTAGGCACTCCAAAGGTCGAAGCGACTCGGAAATACCTGAAAAAGATCGCTCCTTGGGCGAGGTAAGCGAAGCGAAATCGTCAAGCCGGAAGTTGGACTCTGAATTCCGCTTTGCGGTTTAGGATCGATACGAAAGTCGGCTTGTGGAAAAAGGGAGAAGCATCGGAGAGCTGGCTCGAAGGCGCAGATTGGGTCGTAGATGCGATAGACAACGTGCCTACCAAAGCGAGTCTCCGTATGATGCACCTTTTCCACCTTACAAACCCTTGCTGATTATTGCAAGCTTGAACAGGTTGACCTGTTGGCCCACTGCCACAAGAAGAACATCAAGGTGAGGTTACCACCCCAATATCGGCCGTGACCATGTTCTCACTTCGCCACTTCTCGACCTGGTCACAAAGGTCTTCGCCAGTATGGGAGCAGGCGCAAAGAGCGACCCCACGCGAATCCAAATCGCAGACATTTCCAACACGTACGAAGATCCGCTTGCCAAACAGATCAGGGTGCGGTTACGAAAATTGGGCGTTACACACGGTATCCCGTAAGTCAGCTTAGCCTGGAGTCACTTGGCAGGCTTGACTGATTTGTGTTCGTGTGAACCAGTGTCGTCTATTCGTTCGAGGTTCCGGGCGAAATCAAGCTATTGCCATTACCAGACGAGGAGTTTGAAAAGGGCAAGACTACGGAGTTGTCACCCTTTGACGATTTCCGGGTGCGGATTCTGCCTGTACTAGGTAGGTAGGGGCAGCTCTTGCGCGTCATGTCCCGTGACCATAGCTGACGCGTAGTGAAAATCAATCCAGGACCCTTGCCCTCGATATTCGGTCTACATGCGGCCACGTTTATCATGATGGACCTGGCTGGCAAGCCGCTTGAACAGGCTCTACCGGTCAAACATCGTTGGAAGCTGTACGACCGGCTGGAGCGAGGTTTGGCTGCTAAGGAGACCAAGCTCACTTCTGATCCCACAATGTCCAAGTGAGTGCAGAGAATTCGGAGCCCGGGGTAGCAGCGGATACTTCGCTCAACCTTGGTCTTACAGGCGTTGTCCACTCAACCCGGACGACATTGCGTATATCTTCGAGGACCTGAACCTTGGTCGGTCAAGTCTGCCTCCCCATCACGTTCAGACCAAGCCTGCCCTCGTGAGGTGGTACAAGGATCAGCCCGTTTCGAGCTGGAACTGCGCCGTCATGTCATACGAAGAGGCCGACAAGCATTTGGAACAAGTGTTGATGGGCTCGAGCACAGGAGAGGAACTGTGGGGCAAAGAAGCCGAGCGCGCCATGCAGAAGAGGGCACAGGAAGCCAAACGCGTTTTCGAATGGCGCTTGTCGTGAAGATAAGAGCGCATCTATCGACGAACGCACACAGACTTCGCATATATAATATCGCATCCCCGCTCAATCGCTATCGTAAATGACAGCCGGTGCTCCTCCAGACTCTTGCTCCTTCTCGCGCTCCAACCTGACTTTATCTCTTTCCTCGCGACTGTAGCGGTCATAGGAGAACTCGCCACCAGCATCGTCGTCCTCGTACTCCAGATCGGCCTGTGCCGAAGTTTTACCGGTTTCAAACAGCTGTCGCCCTGTACACCGCGACGTCAAATCAGCAGGTCGTCCCCGGCTGACCCTGTACTGGAAGAAGCACTTACCTGTCGGCCGTACGAGAACTTTCTTGTATTCTTCCCGTTCCTTGCCTGTGAGTGCACGGATCCGCTCGTCTTCAGCCTTGTTCCGTCGATTTCTTGCTTGTTCCGCTAGTCTCTTTTGTAAAGCCATGAACGTCTCTGGAGTTACCGGAGTACCACGCTTCTTTGCTGCTTCGGCCTGAACGCAAGCGGTATACTTGACCTCTCAACACGACATTCCTGAGACGTAAATGAGCCCGGTTGTTACGCACCTCCTCGTACTCGGCAAACTTCTTGTCTTCAGCCTCTTTCAGCTTGCGAGCCCGATCGTCCAACACTCCGACCAGGGCTTGACTGAGCCAACTCGTCAAAGTGAACACCATCGCCATCCCAAGCGACTCTGTTCCCGCCGTCTTCATCCCTTCGATCAAGGATTCCTGCTCCTCGTCTGTGATCTCTCCTTCGAGCGCTTCCAGCTGCAAGTTTGGCAGTTCATCCGGGTACTCTGGCGTGTAGTGGACTTGCAATGAGACGACCACTGAGAATGACAGGTACGAGAGATGAGCGACGTTTTCGAGCCGATGCTTCACTGAACGTACGTTTCGCAGCGCTGAAAGAGTCTTCTGGCTCGACTCGTATCCGTAGCACGTCCTCCGAGAGCCCTGTTCGTAACAGCAACGCTTCAGTCTCTCGAAAGTTGCGGTCGATCGAACGGGATCTTAGACTGACTCTCAACCTCTTCCGGAAAGATGGACTCCAGAACCTGATAACAGCGGAGAAACGGTCTAGTCTTCGGAAGGCAGACTGCTATTGATAGGTTCCCAGATGGAAAGCTCACCTGGTACTCTTCGGCCAAAATCTCAGCGTTTCCTATGTTCCGGTTGTTTGATCAGGATCAGCTCAATACCTGTCGCCTGTCGTCTCCTCTCTGTTCGTATGGTATTTACCCGACATGATCTCTCGGAATGCGGATAACAACTAGACTTATGCTTTGTAGAGCTGATTACTGATATGATGAGGCGTACAAAGGGGAGCAGCGGTTGGTCGATGCACTTCTATGTTGCAATGTGCTAAGCCTGACTAGGGTGAACCTGGCTCTTGGGTTGGGTTCGGTCTTCGCGCTCGGAGCCCGCGCCTAGAAAAGTTGGGTTGCAGGTTGACGATCCAAGGAACTTACTGTAAGTACTGTAACTTGTAGTTTACATCCACCCATCTTCATATATCTTGGTATCTTGTGGTCGTTCGGTCTTCTTACAACTCGCACCTCTCCTCGCATCTAGACTATGGGTCGTAGTACGAGAGCAAGAAAGGAACCCATCACTCGCACCGGTCAGCCTCGCATCGGGAAGAGCTCGACCGCAACCCAAGCGACCATATCCCGCTTTCATACGCTTCTCAAACGTCAAGCCCAACTCAAGTCCAAGCTCCAGTCTGCATGTTCTTCCAAATCCGTGCAAGAACTGGCCGAGGTGGAGAGGGAGATGGAGGATCTTGGTGGACTGGCAGCGTATCAAGAGGCAAGCATTCTGGGCCAGGATGAGACCCGCGGAGGTGATACCAGCAAAGTGCTAGTAACATGGCTCAAAGAGCTCAACATCCGGCCCGCTAAAGAGGGCTCCAAGCTCAGGTAAGTGTATCTCGCTAATCAGTTTGCGCTTTCCTGTAGCTAAACATCCCACCCTTTCGTCCCTGCAGAATGCTCGAGATTGGTGCCTTGTCTCCTCGGAATTACGCTGCCATGCAGCCCTTCATTCACAACGAACCTATCGACTTGAACTCTCAGCACCCTGATATCGTCCAGCAAGACTTTCTGCAACGCCCACTCCCTCTGGATGAAACGGATCGCTACGATATCGTCAGCTGCAGTTTGGTCCTGAATTTCGTGCCGGATCCGCATGACCGAGGTTCGTCAGTCTGATTCGCCGTCTCTCCAGGATGATCGATGGAACTGACAGACCGATATCATCTCAGGGAAGATGTTGCGTCTTATACACGGCCAACTCGAGGATTACGGACACGTTTTTCTGGTACTGCCACGCCCTTGCATCGAAAACTCGCGGTATCTCGACAACGAGCTGTTGACACGAATCATGCGGCACGTCGGTTTCAAAGAGGTCATCCGAAAAGACAAGGAAGGCGCCAAGGTGGTCTACAGCCTCTGGCAAAAGCAGAAGCCTGTACGAGTTTCCGCCGCCGCAGAGCTAGCGACCAAGCGGGTCTTGCGGACAGGCGGCAAGCGCAACAACTTTTGCGTTTTGCTCAAGTGAGAAAATAGTACTGCCATATCATGTCTGGGTCCATGCAAAGAAATGTATACAAATGCGTAACGTGTCCGTTTCGTGAAAAATCATTATAATGTGGCACAGACGGCCAAAATGGGTCTGTCGATAGCTCTGTTGATAGATGCGGTTTCATGTGCTTGAAGCACCGCTGGTACGACCCTTGCTCGCGTACTGTGTGATCCATTGACTGGAAAGGACTTCTTTAAGCGTCATTCGGTCGGGCGGGTTCAGGACTAGCAACTGTGAGAGGGATATCGTAACCAGGTAAACCACAAGCGACGAAGTATGTCACCCCGAAACGGTACCCACCCGCTTGATAATGTTGGCAGCCAAAGGTGAGAAGAAGTCGGGCATCTTGTAGTCGGCCGAGCAGATGCGACGTTGAGTCCCTGCAATCGATCATGGGACGTTAGCAGATGTTGGTCCTCGAGAAGATGAAAGAACGAGTCGGACTGACCGGTCTGCGAGTCCTCCTGTCGTATCATACAAGAGTGATATCAGGTCCATGACTAGTAAGTAAGCAGCTCATGAGCTGGTCACAAACAATACTCACCTCGAAAGGAGGAGATCCGCAGAGAAATTCGTACGTCAGGACGCCCAGTGCCCACAGATCGACTTCGTGTCCGTAACCTTTGCCTAGGATGATCTCTGGGGGCAGGTAATCGAGGGTTCCACAGTAGGTGTGTCGGCTGATTGTAATGCGGTATCATGTCAATCCCAAGCAGACCTGCGAAAGCTGCGGGGTCACGGTACTAACCGGTTTGAAGGTGCATGCACGCTCCAGCCGAAATCTGCGATCTTGAGGTTGCCTGATACGTCACGAAAACAAAGAGTCAGTGGAAGAGGCTTCAGGGAACAGCCTTCAGCAACAACCTTACCCTTGGCATCGAGCAACAAGTTCTCGGGCTTGATATCCCGATGAATGACGTGCTTGGCGTGCAGATAACTCAGCGCATCCGCCATTTGCGCGATGTACTACGAAGACGCACGTCAGTAAGCATAAAATTGACCTAGACCGTGAACAGCTGGCGATCCCAGGACGATAAAAACGAAGACTCACTCGACTGCTCCGCTTGTCGTCAAACTTGCCCTCTCGTTGAAGGTGCTTGAACAGTTCCCCCTTGTTGGCAAACTCGAGAGCTAGGATGATACGCTTGCTATCATGGAAATAGGTAAACAGCCGGAGGACGTGTGGGTGCCTGCAATTCGCAACCACGTCAAACATCAGCCCCGTGCGCCTACAAAAAACTCCATACCGCCTCCAGCTCTGTCATGCTGTATATATTGTTATACATATGAGACTCACCTGAGGTTTTGTTGAATCTCAATCTCCCGCCTGACCTGTTTCTCCACCTTGTCCTTCAAGATCTCCGCCTTGATCAAGCATTTCAGGGCGACGATGTACCGCGGCGAGGTCTTTGTCCTCGCCAGGTAGACTCGACCGAATTTCCCACGTCCGAGGGGTTTGCCGATCTCGAAGTCTAGTAGCGAACGAGGTCTACGTGTTGCGTAAGGCGGGGTAGAGTGGGGTAGGTTTGAGAGCGAGAGGATCAAGTGGGGATGGGAGTAAGGCGGTGAGAGCTGGGATGCAGAGCTAGCTATCTGACTCACGCCTTGAACGGCATCTCTAGTTCCGAGTCACTCTTCCTAGCCACATCCTTGACGCTCGATATCCGACCTCCTTCGAGAGCGACATCCAAGGTTCTTTTTTCCACCACGAGATCCCTCACTACGCCCGTCTGTATGGGATTGATCGGGATCGGGATCGGGGCCTTTTTCGACTCGGCGGGGACGATCTTGCTAGCCAACGTCCGAGCTGCCGTCCCATGAGCCGGACCGTGGATCCCGTGAGCGGGATGTTGGCCGATGAGACGTTTAGGAGAACCCATCTTGGTCAAATTGGAATTGGAAGGACCTGCTGATGATGCCGATGCTGATGCTGATGCTGCTGTCCGATCAAAGTTGGGTGCACCTCCTGCTAGTCTCATCAGAGCTGCTCGAGGTGCGTCCTGGTTATTATTATGATGCCCCGAAGAGCCGGCCATCGTAGCCGGATCGTGTCGACCTCCCAAGTCTGGATTGCGGTATTTCGTAACGACAGGAGTGATCCGGGGTAATGAAGCCGAAGACGTCGTTGTTGTCGTTGTCGAGGTAGCTCTGTCCAGTTTCGAGCTCGTATGCAGTCCATGATGCCCACCCCCGCTCGAGACGTGTTGCGAAGACGACGACGAGACCGCCAGGCCTCGCATTTTGAGCGTCAGACTGTCAGCCATGATCGTTCGTGGACTTCAGGAGAGAAGCACCGATGCAGCTTCTACTCGAGCTGGAAGGGTTGTATTGAATCGAAACCAGTGAAAGAGCAAGGTGCAAGGTGAAGCCCTAGCCTTAGAAGTTGTTTGTTTGTTTAGTAGCGAGTTGACGGTGACGTGCGGATGCAAAAATGTGGAGAGGATGGGTAGAATATCGATCAACAAACACACGCAGCACATGGTACAACGGGGTATCATCTCCATTCTCAAGAATGTTACAACCTGGCAGTCCCGATAAATCCCAAGTAACCAATATCCTACAGACCTAGTCCATGTACACCTCTAACACGTAGCACGCAAGCAAAAACGATCCTAATAACGAAGCGACCCGCCCCCTATTTTCGAACGATCCAAGCGACGATCGTCATCTCGTCCGCTTCCCTCTCATCACCCTGCTGTCTCTGACTCTCATGCGTACTACTCAAAGCCGCCTCGGCCCTGTCCAGTTCGTCTTCTCCACCATCCTCGTACGCCCTGACCGCCCGTTCGCCCAAGACCTGTTCCCCCCACCTGAGATTAGAGTTCCCCCCTTGGCCCGTCCCGCTCATCCCGCGACCTCGACCGTGTTTCCCCTTGCCCAACGCGCTATCCACCCAAGCGGCCAGGCATTGTTCGATGGTAGAGGCAGGATGCCATTCGGTCAGTTGACTACGTCGAAAGGTGACGTTCATCGCTTCTTTCGAGGAGAGCCCGCAGGAGAGGAGCGCCGGGCGGAGCGTGACGAATGGGTAGGGTTGTAGGAAGGAGGATAGCATGAGCGAGGAGAATGACGCTCGGAGCGCCATGGGCGTTTTGGCTGGCAAGACTTTGCTCATCTCGACGATCTGCAACACAAAGGGAATGTGCAATATTCGGGTCAACTTTCTTGCTACAGAGGCCTTATCCCGGGCCAGCGCGACTCACCTCGAGGATCCCAGTACCGCTTTTGAGCACTCGAGCGCATTCGTCCAGTAGACTTTCCCAGGCTGTCTCCGGAATCCCAAGTCCTACGAAACGCAAGTGAACGTGGTCGAACGACTCGGAGTCGAAAGGAAGTCCTTCCAGGCTACACCCGACCCATAATACATAAGCTTCTCCAGATCGAGGAGCACAAACGGGGGATCGATCGACTTACAAGTTCCCGATCTTCCAGATGACACGCTTGGACAAGTCTTCCCAGTCCACAACCATTTTCCCATCTTCCGCCTCTTGGACGCCTACCAACGCTTGAGCGCGGGCCAGGGCGGCCAGGTCGGTCTGGATCGGGGCAATGTCTAGGCCGACTACGGTACATTCTGGCCATTGTTGAGCCATCGTGATCGGCCATCTGAGCAGGGCAGGGAGAGGGTTACATATATGAGCTTGTGTGGACTAAGCGATCCAACATGGAACAACAGGAAGAGAAGGGAGGTACTTACAGGCCGATCCCGGTCCCGATGTCTAGGATTCGTTTTGGAGGAGGCATGTTATCCGGATAAAGGGTGGCTTTACCGGTACACACCTGCGTAAAAGCTTCGTGGATCATTGCCTCGCTACAAGAAAGAAAACAACATCAGCTTACGAACCCCAACACTCCAACCAATTTTCAGTTTGGGACTCACCAATCCAACACGGACCGCTCGTAACCCATGACATAAGGCAACCTCTTGACCTCGGTCGCTCCCCTCGCATCGAGGACCTTCCCAGTCCCGTCCATCCGCAGATCCGTCTTGACCCTCTTCCGACCAAAGTCTCCGCCGAAACCCATCAGGTGTTTGCCATCGACGATCCCCGGGTTGGCTTCCCAGGTGAAACGAAAGTTGCGTTCGGCCTTTGTCCGGGGGTATTCTTGGCCGCCGTTATAGGTATAAGCCGTCGTTTGTGGGTGTTGGTTTTGGTTTTGGTTTTTCCAGGGGGCTCCTGAGCGCGACTGAGGGCCGGCGCCGCCATTACTGGAAGGAAGGGGTTGGGAAGGTTGACGAGGTTTGGAACTCCCGAACCCGAATGGTCGGTTCGTCGTCGTCTTGCCCGTAGGCGCCGGATGACCGATATTCTGATCCATGACGTGCTGAGAAGCCGCGGGACCCGAGGCTGTCCGGAGTCGGTTCGCATATCCTCCCCCGTTCCCACTACTGGGTTGCAAGAGCGCATTCCCACGGTTGTTGTCGATCTGCTGGACGTCCATCGCCATCGTCGGGTCAAACGAGGCGTCACTGGGACGGGGCATAAACTTGTCGTGGTGGTTATCATAGATCAAGGTCCCATTGTCGGCTTCTACGCGGACGTTGATCCCCTGACCTTGAGTTTGAGTCATAGCTCTCGTCTGGCCGAACGGAGGAGGAGGCCCGCCAGCGTTCGTATCCGTAGTCGAAGGCCTCTGTCCGTTCTTCTTACCCCCTGCGCTCTTGTCGCGATTACCAGACTTGTCACGTCCGCCACCGAAGAACTGGGCGATCCGGCTTCCGGCGGAGGGGGTCGAGGTGGCTGCAGGAGGAGGCGGGAAGCTAGTCTGATGTTTGGCATGACTATTGTTGTTGTTATTGTGGACACCCGACTGCGTCTTGGTAGAGCCCTTGCGACGGAGCCCAGACATATCAGTCGTAAAGATCGAGCTGTCGTCGGGGAAATCGTCTTGAGTCTGCTGCTCCATGCCTCCTCGGTTCGAAGTCTCGGTCATCGAGTGTATCCCAGCGGAGGTATGACTGAGGGGTGGGACGATCCCGGCGGGCTCGGCGTTTACATGCCGGGTGGAGATCCCGAACAGACCTCGTTTGGTTTGTCCACCACTACTACCACCACCGTTACCAACACTACTTCCAGGCAAGGTATGACCCTGACCCTGACCTATTCCTCGTGCAGGTCCAAAATCAGCAGCCTGTTGACGCTCGTAATACTGGTGATGGTGCTGATGCTGCTGAGTCTGTGTCTGCATCATGTTTCCTCTTGCTGTCGTTGTTGGCGTCAATCGATTTTCCCTCGAGATGGGTGATACGCCTTCCAAGTCCCCTTCTAGATCGCCTTCGTCGTTCTCTGGGATAGAGGAACTAAGAACGAGTGAACGTTTGAGACTCTTGCCAAACGAGGGATTTGCGCTAATACTAGTTTTGCTGATGTCGGAGAACCGTTTTTCTGATCGACTGGTAAGTCAAAGATCGTTGACGCTCGTGTTGGACAAGATGTGTCGTTGAGACGGAGAGTCGAGGTTCGGATCGGGAGCCTGACAAGATCGAATATGTCGGAAGATGATGGGTGATCGAACGATGGCGGGCATCATACGAGAGGGATTTCAGGTGCGAGTTATATAGACGATTTCTTTTCTGCCTCCCTGGACCCTCGTGGTATCGATGTTCGATGTGCGATTTGATGGCCTGATGAGCGAGATGAATCGTCTGGGTGTGTTCCGCCGAGCCCGATCTGGGTCTGATTTCTGCGCGGCAAAGGCAGGCGAGCGAGGGTTTCGGCTTCTGAGGTAAAAGGTAAAAGGAAGAAAGACTAAAGGTGGATAAGCGTTTGGGTGTCTTGCCATGCGATGTCACCGTGTCAGGTCCAAGAACATCGAGGACGAGTGAAGCGAGTAGCTAGTTCGTGCAGGTCGACGTGGTGAGGATGCGGGTGATACGCGATATCCACTTGAAAGGCTCGAAACGTAACCGTCAAACTGAATCATCCGTCGTCCCGCGACTGCAGAAGAGTCAGAGTGATCAAACCCGTTTCGAGGGTCCGCTCGGGTTGTCATCACATGCATCACATCATCGATCAGATCGATCATCGATCAGATCGATCATCACGAGATCAAGGCGGGAGGGTGACAGGCCCGATTCGGTGATCGTTTGATCGCTTGATGATGGAAAAGGAAAAAAAAAGTTTGAAAAGCCACGCCCTGCCTTTAGATCGCTCTTCTCCAAGCGAATAGAGACATACGAGAAAAGAAACGCCGAGAAGGTAAGAAAAAGGAACCAGCTCGAACCAGAAGCTACTAGAAGTCAGAACTATACCACCCTCCACCCGCAATGGCCCGTGGCCTGTGTCCTGTGGCTTGTCGACCCGAGCTTAGCGTTCAGAGCGGGCAGTGAAGAAAGGGACCCACCCTGTTTTAAGGTTCCCATCAAACCATAAAAACCATCAAATCGTGTCATCAAAGTGATCGCCGAGGGTCGATCTGATTTGATGGCATGACGACGACGACGAGCGACGAGAGGGATGATATATGAAACACGGGGGGAAACAAAAGCCTCCCGCGTCCCGCCCTTCCGCGTGATGGAGCGGGCGGGCCGATATCTCCTGGCCAATCCGCCGGGCGAGAAAATCGAATCACGTCATCAAAATTCGCATAATGCCATGATGTTATGGTCGTTTGATGAATTGATGATCATCTTCCGTCGTAACAGAGGCCAATAGCCAGAGGTCGGCCATGACACCAGAAGTAAGTACGAGGGGAAAAGAGGCGAAGAGGACAGAGGACACAATCAGGGACCGATGATAGTTCAATACAGTACAACAAGGAACGAGAAGACATGAAAAGAAGAGTCCTTCTGCCGTTCGCTTTCCCGCCCGCTCATGCTTGGGTTTCTCGGACGGACCGTCATGACCCTCTAAGCAAACGGTCCTCCAGGCGGAGGCTTGGCCCGGGTCGGACTCGCAGGCGGACTCCCCAGATTCTCCGCGATCCTCTCGATGGCCTCGTCGTTCCCGTTCGCGTCGGTCCCCTCGAGGACCTCTTTCATCAACGCCATCGTCTGATCCAGACTCCTCCGACGGTTCGAGGGTGCGGTACGGTTCGTCGTACCCAGGGAGAATCGTCGGCCGTGGCCCGGTTTCCAGGTCGCGCCCAGGTCGGGACTGCTAGGGGTCATCGGGGATCCGAACGGAGATTCGGCCATCCCACCACCACCACCAGAGCCGTAGCCGCCCAACGCCGGGGACTCGTTCGGGCTCGACAACATCGGAGGCGTGCTCTCCGACGGGCTGCCGGGACCGCTCGTTCGCATGGGGGAAGCGGGCGCGTCCTCGTCGGCGTCGATAAGCTCGGGAGGTAGTCGTTCGTTGGTAATGTCGGCTCGTCGGCTGCAAAGGTCGGGACGATACGCAAATGTCCGTCAGTCTTCGTAATAATGTAAAGACTTGGTTGACGGTCGACTCACGCATCGCTGAATCCATGGATGGCCTCCTTGACGCCCTCGGCACCCGAAGCCAACGCCGTGTCGGACAATGCCGCCTCTTCCTTTCCAGTCTGCAACTCTCCCACTCGCTCGGTTTCCTCTCTATGTAGTTCCATACAAGCGCGAGTTTAGTTTCCTGCCTTGACCGCAAGTACAGCAAACCAGTCGTCTTACCGGAGCAAGGCAAACACTCGAGACATCTTGCCGACGAGCATGATCTTGTTCTTCATCTTGGCATTGTCACGTCCGTCGAGTTCTGTGGCAACAAAATCAGCTTTGGCGGTCCTTTCGCACATTGGCCGTATTCGTTTTTACTCACCCTCATCGGCAGGCGAGAGGACTTCGGGCGAAGTAGGCTCCTCTTCCTCGGCCTCTTCCAACTCTTCCTTGGTGCAACAGTTTAGGATCGCGATCAACATGTCCGTGACTACAGGGTGAGGGGCAGCATCAAGTCAGCAAGCAGTGCGGGATGGTCGTATTTGAGCGGCGACTACGCACTCTTTTCTCCGACGAAAGGCAAACTCCAAGTAAAGACGTCCATAAAGTTGGGCAACCAGTAAGGATGGGGCGTGCAGTTGAATTGTCGGATGCTGCGAGACGAATCAAAGTCAGATCGCGTTACGTGTACAACTCGGAGAGAGCACCCACTTCATGACGTTGGATTCGTATTTGAGCACGGCCGCCTTGTTGCCATACACGTCGAGGTAGTTGGGAGCGCTAAAGATCGTCATGACCGAAGGGAAACCGGTGGTCTTGGTCTTGCGGTACATTCGGTATCTTCACAGTTCGACCAAAAAAATCAGCTTGGGATGCAAAAGTTGAACTCCGGACCTGATCGCGCTTACCCAGCGTCTTGAGCCTCATGTGCTCGGATGATGGACAACAACCCGTTTCTCTCCAAGAACTGACAAGCCGCCGTATACCTGTGTCATCCACCCCATTTCAGGTCAGTCTTTCCGAGTCGAAAGCGAATTGTATTGTCACGAGCTAGCCACTCACGTGAAAAAGTACGAGCAGCCTCGCACGTGGTTGTGTAAAAACGGCTCGTTGGTCTTTTCCGACCCAAACTCTTCCAACGGATCGGCCCAGAGCATGTCACACATCAGTCCGTGCGTCGGGGGTTCCCTGAATCGGTTGATCTGTAAAGTCGGCGCGGGCGGACAGCAGAGCGATCGGTCATCAGCACATCGCACGCATGAATAGGCGAATCCCGGCACGTACGCTTCGGATATCATCCAAGGTGTTGAGTTCGGGGGACAGTCCACCATGGATACAGAGGAACTGCTTGTTCATCACCGCGGCCAGGGGCAAGTTGCAGAACGAGTCCATGCACGCGTTGTAGACGACTTCGCTGTACTTGTGTTTGCCTGCCAAGAGGCAACACCGATGGGGATTAGCTATGCTGTCATAGCAATGAGGAGGGAGAGGGGGGTGATTGGGGAAGATGGACGCACATTCGAGCTTGAAGGTGAAATAGTCGGTCAAGTGGCGGCATTCGTGGTTGCCTCGCAAGAGGAACAAGGTGTTGGGGTACCACATCTTCAAGGACCACAGGTACAGCACACACTGTGAAGAGACGGCGGGGGATGGAATTCCTCAGATACTGGTAGTAGCTGGTCTCGCTGATGTCAGGCTGGCTCACCTCGATCGAAAAGTATCCTCGGTCCACGTAATCTCCCAAGAACAAGTACCGGGTATCCGCAGGGTTCCCACCGACTTCGAACAGCTTCATCAGGTCGTACTATCATTCCACATAGTAAAAAATTGAAAGACAAGCCAGGATATCAGGTGTGAATTCTGAATCGCTAGAGAGAGAAAGCGGAATGTATATAGTATGGGGGAGGGGACTGACGTATTGACCGTGAATATCTCCGCAGACGGTGATAGGCGCATCTACTTCTAGCAAGTTGGATTCTTGGTGCAAGATCTCGCCTCCCCTGCGATTCCCAATTGATACGCCACGACGCGATACGACACGATACCATACGATACGTGGTCAGCCAACGATATACACTGATACTTTTAACTCCTGCGGAATGACCCGAGGACGTACTTTTGGAGGATGAACAAGGCCTGTTCTTCGGTCAGACGACCTTCCCGGTAAAAGTGGTTCTTGAGGAATGCAATGTCCGGTTTCGAAGGATCCGTCTTGGAATAAAACTCTTCGTCGGTAGGGGGTCGCATGGCCGGAGCTTGTACCTACAGTGATGATCATGAAAGACGAGATGAGATCAAAGCCAGAACAGAAAGATTGAGATTGAGCTGATAGCCTTGCAAGGCAAGTGTACGGTACGCTGGGGAATGTGGTTTAAGAGGGGACAAAGACGGAACTCACGTCCTTGACGACCCTCTGGTCCGTCCGAACGATCTCCCCGTTCTCCAACTGATGCTGCGTAAAATCGATCTTGGGGATATCGAACTTCCTCTGTTTCTTCCTCGCGATGGCGGCGATGGCCTTTTCTTGGTATTCTTTCGACGAGACGCTCGGACCTGCTGCATTGTTGTTGTTATTGGTATAGTCGGCTTGATTGTTGTTGTTGTTGTTATTTCTCGAGTTTGAAGTGGGCAGGTTGGAGGTGTTTATAGGAGGGAGGGATGTGGTTGGGTCCATGTCGATGGGAGGCAAGTCGGACATGGTCGATCAAGGTTGGGGTGAGGGTGGTGATGATGGGTTGACCGGGGGATGAACACAGCGGGAATGATCCTGATCGCCCGGAAGTCGGTGGAATTCGTAACGGCTCTCGACGAGTACTGCGCGAACTGCGTGAGGGTCTATCGAAAAATTTGAAAGGTGATGATGGGATGGTGGTGGTGGTGGCCAAAAGCGAGTGAGATTGACGACTTTGGATTGACGGTCGTTCGGTATTGTCCCTCTCTGCTCCTTCTCTCCGCTGGCCGCGCGTGGCCGGTTCATGATTGCATTCATCATCACGCAGGCAACAAGCAGCAGCGGACACGAAAGACAACACAATGTCCGTACGTCCACCGACCTCTCGACTGCACAGATGCATTGAGGCGATCAACATTTTAATCGAGATTTGAAGACGATACTACATTTCCCTGCTGTAATCTCATGGCGTGTGGTGCTTGATGGCTGTCCTCAACAACGCTCGTCCCCGGGATCGCTCCCTTTCTCACGCCAAAAGGTTGCCCGGTGAGCCGGTGATGACGTAATCGTATCGCGGTCCGGCGGCATTCGCGGGAATAGATGAAACACGAAACGTCGAACCGGCCTGCAGAATCGGTCGATTGGTTAGCAATTAGCAATGGGCAGCTAGCAGGCGAGCAGACGCGATCGGACAACCCGAATGATGGGAATCCTCAGCACACTCAGAGAGATCAGGAAGTGCCTGCAGGAGATCGCTCAATTTGTACCAATATCACATAGAGGCGTTCACGTCACTGTCGTGCGAACGAAAACGATATCAGGCCATCGGCGTGGTCTACCCTACATTTGGTCCTGTCCGGCTATTCATCCTAAGGCTCGCTATTGGGATTCCGATTGTTTTGCAACAATCACATACCTTGTGAGAAACGGAACGATATTCCTCTTTTCCAGCTTATTTCACATCATTTCACCGAGATGGATGCCTGGCTCTACCGTGGCCTATCACTGGCGAATAATAATGCTTAGTTCGACTGGCATTACTGTGATTGCAAGCAGAGAAGAAAGTCCTCAGGTTGGGTAACATACCGATGTCGACCTACAAGGTCGGTGGACTTTTGATGGACGTGTACCTGGCTAGTGATGTCGATCCGACGAGAAATCGATATTGAAGATATTGAGCTTACTCGCTACGACTTAATAATGAGTTCGAGTTTGTGATTCGCTACTCCCCTTCCGCACATGATCTCACTACTATTCAAATGAATCACCACGCAGACGAGTAAGCGAAGAATCGGAATCGTATCAGCCGGATGCGGAAAACTTCAAGGGGTGCATACATAAGTTTGATCGTGGATACATACGAGTTATCAAGGTTATGCTATAGAGAGGGCAGAGTGTATGAGAGAGGATGAGTGAGTGGCACCAGGTAAGAGGCGGCAAGAAGGAAGCTCACATTACAATATAGCAGGGCTACTATTGTTCTTCCTGGGAATCGCAATCCAGCATCTCGGTATCAGATGTATACCTCTCTTCTCCTTCTACTCCTCCGGAGTATGTGACACCATCCACCGGACTCCCAGGATCACCTGATTGCTCGTTCGAGTCCAGGGGTTCCGGAGTGATCGAGTCACCTCGAGCCGGACGCTGAGTTCCCATAGTTTGCTCAGAAATTTCGTCGTCAGAGGCCGCTGTGCTCTCGTCTCCTATCATCATGGGTCGATTGTTCTCGTCGGTTTGGGAACATTGGGAGGCAAGATCGACTTTTTGAGAACTTTCATCTCGTTTAGACAATTTTAGTCCAAGTCCCTTATTTCTGCCGCCTTTTCTGTCCTTTTTTTTGTTCGCCCATATTCAACTAGACTGTATCTTTGTTGGCTGCATGTGTTGACGGAACACACGCTCTGTGCTGTAAATTTGTCGTATCTCATGCGCAATAATCTGCTATATACCTTTGCTCAGAGGTGGTGACGAAATTAATAGTCCGATCTCATCGGAAGCTCAGGACTTCCTTTGTTGGTTCCTTACTTTCAAGCTCAGACCACTTTGTTCCAGAGCTTGGGGGTATTGGCACCGGGCGTAGTCTCAAATTCATGTGTTGCTGGTTATCATCGATTGTCCGCTTCCAGGTCATTGAGGTGGCTCACACAATAATCACTCGCGATCTCATCATCCGGATTTGAAGATCGATTAACTCTAGCTTGTTTTGCCTCGCCGAGGGCTTTGAGCGCGTCATCGGCCGGCATTTCCAATGCAATGGTCTCTATCACCCCAATATGGAACCGCTTCATATCGGTGTCGACTCCACCTGGCCCCTCTAGACCCCAAGCCTCAAATACTTCGGTCTGCCGTTCCCCGGCCATGGCTTCGCGTCTGATGGCCGAACCGAGCTGATCCTATTCAGTACCGTGCACTTCGATCTTCTGAGCATTGAAAAGCGGCGGTAGCTCCTCGGCAAAGGTTGTCGAAGGGGGTTCCTTTGCACGGATAATGATGGCGAGGTGGGTAGGTTAATAGATCCCGGAGCAGGATGTTGTGGGACATGGGATCCCTCTTCGAGAAGGCACCCTACTCTCTTGCCTCACTCGGCGTGATCGCTTTCAGGGCAGAGAATGGCAACAACGGTTGGCCAACAGGCGAGAACGATACTGATCTTCCTCCGGATTTCAAGTTGATCCATGCGGCTGTCTGCGCTGAACTAGTAAGGCGCACTGTGTCTAAACCCAGATCAACTCAACCTTGTTTTGTCCAAGTAGATGAATATTCGGGTCCATTCCAGTACGATACAGGTTACGCTTGCCAGGTCTACATCTCGGAAGAGGAGCTCGACTTGCTCCTTGTGTTATTTTTGGACAGACAGGTGTTACATTACGGCCGCGCCTGCCCGTCGCGTTTGCGTCACAAATGGGATGGTCTCAATATTATGCACGATAGCGATTTCAACAATATGCCTACACCTTGACTCTTATCGTGACCTTGCTTGACCTTGATTTCACTTTCGTGCTCAATACACGGGAATGCATGTCGCAGAGGTAATATCATCTCTTGTCGTGATCGTTCTGTAACCTGTTTGGAGGTGATGTTGCTTCCAGGGGACGATCGCTGGTCAATCGCTCTTCGCACAGCTTGCAATGCAGTAGGTTGATCGGAATGTGAGAGGAGGTGAAGGCGATGCTGAGGGGTGCCGCTACGTTGATCACCCATCGTCATTTTTACCGGACGACTGGCTTCCTGCTCCTCAGTCATCGTGATGAAAGGCCCAATTTTCTAGAGCGTCATCTGGTCAGGTCCAGTTCCTCGAATTTAAATGATCGAGTCCAACCTACTTTCCCTTGTGTTTCGTCTCTGACCAATGGGCTACTGTCTGCCACAGTCATTTTCGGCACCTTTCCATTCAATCAACAAGTGCGCCTCGTCGTCAGCTACCAATGCTGATCTCTGTTGTTACCGGGCTTGTTCCTGGTCCGTCCTTGTTTGGGAAGTGGATCATCAGTCCTTTGGTCAACCAGCGATATCTTCGCGAGATTGGTTCCAAGCACGTTACAGATATGCGTTGCAATAAGCGCGCGATTTTTGCGTTTCAGATCCGATCGTTCGTCTGCTCGGTCGACTAGGTGCGTCTCCTTCGTTATCCACACTCTCGGACAGCAGGCAAGAGAAAATCACAGAACCCAGATCACAGTCGTGCCATAAATTATCGTCCACAACAAAAGCCGGTATCACCATGCAAATTGTCCGCTTGGCACCGAGTGAAGATATAAGACAAAGGGCAAGATCATCCTTGACACGAACGCCATGTTCTTCGTTAACGTCGAGGATGATCGTCGCTCTCAGTACCCGGATTCTGAACAGAGATGACGGGTGATCAGGTGATCAACTCGGGCGGGATCGATGGATCGAAGTCACGGGGGTCGTACCGGTCCGCCATCCTTTTGGGTTAGGACGGGTTTTCGGGTGCATGTCTTTGCGCAGGTATGTACATGTGTATGTGCACGCAGGCCGGATCATCACCTCCCAACTCCGCCAGCCCCACCCCTACTTGAGGCCTACCCAGGCCCTCCTTTGCATGCGGCTCAAAGTGAGGGCAACCAGGGGCGAGGGCGGCTACACCGGTGGATCTATCCTGTGGATCTTCCCCGCAGGTGCTCCAGAGGACATCAAGGAAGATGTGGAGATGGCAGATGTCTGGGACGTTGCCAGCACCGGCATCTTTGAGATGTCCGAAGTCAACCAGCTTGAGGCAAACAAGGGATAGACAATCAGGGATGATGAGGAAGAAAATGGACGAGCCATAAACTAGGCAAACAGCAGACAGACTATCAAACAAAGATAATACAAGTAAACTCATCCCATCGAGAACGATCCAAACGACAAGTTCATCATGGTCCTTTGAATCAAAGCCGCCACGAACAACGGCATACAACGACCCTATCTGGATCTAGAGTGAGATCGACTGATTCGCGCCCGCGATATGTATTTCAAAGAGAGCTCGGCACGACTAGTCATTTTGACTAGTCAGTAGTCACTCAGCAAGACATGGCCATAGTCAGTAGTCAGTCACAATTACAGACTAGAAAGTGACTGACTAGTCACTAATCAGTCACCGGTGAGCAACTGTTATAATCAGACTAATTAGTCAGTCAGTCGCCTGTATTTCATGAGACTAATGAGTCAATCAGTCATTCAGTAACCCAACCAGATGAATTTGTATCGATGAACAGCTCCCAAAACACGACCCATGTCAAAGGTGAAATGTTGGATGATCATCAGAACTCAAAGATGGTCATAGTTGTTGCGGTCAGATCAATATACGTCAACACTCTTGTCTTGTTTGTCAGTGGGACTGTATATGACTAGTCAGTCACGAGTTAGGCCTCCCACTGATCCATAGTCAGTAGTCAGTCATATTACAGACTAATGACTATAGTCATGACTATAGGTTTTAAGTGTTACGGACCGATCCCAGATCGGGATCTCAACCATGATCTTGACCTTGATCATGATCTTGACCTTGATCATGATCTTGACCTTGATCATGATCTTGACCTTGACCTTGATCATGATCTTGACCTTGACCATAATCTCAATCTTGATCGGGATCATTATCGGGAATATCCAACACATCAATATATATAGGCAACCAATTTACCCTCATTGTACATTCCCTCCTTTGTATTTTCCATTCTTCTCTTCAAGAAGAATTATCATATGTTACACTCTTGACATACTTGCCACCTACCAACACTACACTATCCACCAACTCTCAGCAACGGTGCTCTCGTCAAGCACTTCACGGTTAGACATAAGGATTAGTCAACCAAGACTTCTAGCTGAGTTCTATCTGCCTTAGCACAATTTCTACTGACGCTTTGGTCCGCATAACAACAGTTCCTGTTACTGTCGGACACCTCCGTAACATTAAGTCACTTAGTCGTGCCGACCTCTAGGCATGGACGGCAGGATGAAGCCGCAAGCCGATCAGCAGGGGTACGACACTCAGTCGGTGAGTCCTCCTCTCTCCGCAGTGGAAGCTCTCCGTAGGCCGATGGTGACTTTGTATAACCGCAAGCTTACTCTTGCCGTGAATGTGCTGGTGGTAGCAGGAAGGAGGAAGCTCCGAGCCTATCACCTTTGATTCTCCTCACAAGGACGAAGCGGGAGGTGAGCCCAATGAGACCCCAGGGCAAGCTGCTGGATCTCAGGTTCTTCTCATATGCTCGGGCTGCTCGGGGTCGTCGCAGCGGGCGACGGTCGTGATCGTATCGCCTGCTCAAGATATAAACAGCGCCGACCGACGTCAGCATCGTTATGATTCCAAATGTGATTATCCGTCATCGTTCCTGTTGAACTTTTCTCGTAGTACTTGGAAGGCAGTGCGCAGTCTACAGTGACAATCAAATGTTCGTTTTATCCATTACGCCATCACACAAGCGGTTTCACCCACACCCCCTGTAGCCGAGCACACGGTAGTCAAGCGCGCGATCCATTCAGAGTTTCACCTTCGATCGATCGATGGGACGCGCGAGTTAGGTTGCGTTTCGTCAGCAGAACGAACATCGCCACCGACCATGTGGCATGTGATCTATGTGATCAAGTGATCAAATGACGTCACAAGTCCACGGTCACGAGCCAACGGGAATCGAAGGCTTTTCCTACCAGATCGTCAGTAGTGCGCTAACTGTAGTGCATCATCGAGTCTAGGAGAGCAAGGGATTTGCATATATAAAAAGGAAGCAGCTGGTGACCTCGACTGGGCGCAGGGAGGTTATCGATCGCGAACGACCCAGCAATCGATCCTCTATCCAGACCTCTCTCTCGGTACGTTTGCAAAAGCCTTCAATCACACCGATAATATGTCAGACTCGATGATATAGAGAATAATCATCGACTGATAACTGCTACTCCGCTTTCTTTCCTTGCATTCGCCATCCGCCCGTACGCCTTGCATCTCCATCCTTGATCGCAGGCAAAGAAACCAATCCGACTCCCGCTCGCAAAACCTCAGACCTCACAACCACTTACTGGAACGGATATGAGCTCTCAGGATAATCAACAAGGGTTCGCTACCAAGTCCGTAAGTATTCCTCGTCCCCCCTCATCTCCCTCTCTTCCTCCTTGCCGCTCCCCCGTCGCCCCCACGCACCAACCGATCATCTACCGAGCTCACAATAAAAACGCCACTTCGACTGTGCTCTACCTTCATGCAGGGAGAAGGCGAGAAACCGGAGACCTTCTCCACCCCGCCCGTAAAGGCCGAAGTAGGGGATTACACGAAGAAGACCCCGGGGGAGGTGGCTAAGCCGAGCGTCCCTGATGCGGGGAGGGAGAATGGACATTAGGTATTAGGCGTCAGGCGGTTGGGGTTGTGATTGTGTGACGAGGTGGGAGGTGGGAGATGGGAGATGGGGGATGGGGGAGGGGGGATGGGGGATGGGGGATCGCCTGAAGCGACGAGCTGTAAATATGAACAAGTCTCGGAAATACGTCAAATCGAAATGCGCCTCTGAAGAGCTTAGAGAATTAGAGATCGATGCTTGACTGGATCTCAGGGGCCATCGACGGTATCCAACAACCTGGCTCGATCCTTGGTGAGGTTGTCTGACATATGAACACATGTACGTAGATACGCTGTGTCTTCATGCGTTCGAGGTCACAAGTGTAGGTAGAGGCACAGCGGGGCAAGGGGGGCCGGTTACAAAACACGCGCGCCGGTTAGAGGCCAGTTACAGGAGGTCCGTTACGATTTTGACCTAACTGCCTTTTATGGGCCCTATTTAGTCCCCTTTTTTTTCGCTAAGTCCTTTGACACCCTCAAATCGTTTTTTTTTTCTCTAAGTCCAAACTCTTCGACGCGTCATTGTCAACAAGTCCTTCAACGGCCACGTCCCCCAAATCCATGTTGTAACCCCTCTTTAACTACTGTGTTTATCATCGATTATCTTGCGATTATGGAATCCGAATTTCTTACCGATTATCCTCCTGCTGGTTGCACTCCTGACCAGCTTGCGAAACGGGTGGTCAGTTTAAGTGCATTCACCAGGCTATTAACCATCATTTAACATCCCCATTACTAGCCCAAATCGACGGTTGGTATTTGCCGATGCCAAGGTTGTGGGCCTTCAGGACGTCGCATCTCCGGCAAAACATATGTGACACATATCCGCCGCTTAGCGGCCAGTTTAGAGGTCCATAACAACCTCGTCCGGGGGAGCCTTTCCATTGGCTCTGGGGGGCCGCCAGACTCGCCCTTACAGCCGGCCCACACCACCCCCGTTATCTCGCCGTTACAACCCAATCTTCCCCCTCCCTCATTGCCGTCAGGTCACCTTGTGAATGCAGACGCCAACTACGAGGTCGACTACCCGGAAAACCCTATGAATCCTCTAACCCCCGATTGCGACCCACCAAACACTCCGGTTAACAGGCAGCCATCTCCAGCTCCATCACTTGCATCTCCCCCGTATCGGCCGGAGAGTCGGGCAGATAGGGGACCGATGGACATACCTTGTTCCAGCTATGCATCTGAGCTTCACGACTTCCGCCCGTTATGGCCGAGGGACGTTCCTCCAGCGATTGATAGGCCATGGATCAGCGGTGCAACTGCACCCCTAGAGGCCAGTTGCGAGGCCGATCGACCTACTACAACCTTCATGGAGAAGTTGATCTACGCCCACACCTTGTTACTAGCAGCCTCTGGGGTTGTGCGGCGAGCAGTGGAATACACCCTCAATACGCTCGTTATCTTGGTACTTACGACCCACTTAGCGGCCGGAGGTGTCAACCCATCCCCTCTGAGTGAAAATCCAGCCAAAACTCTTAGGACGGTCCGATCTCTAATGGGCGCAAATGTGCCCTCTATCACCCACCCTGTCTGCCCGAACATGGACTGTCAAGCCGTATTGTACCACATCAACTCCCCAGTCTCTCTATCATCAATCCACTCTCCAAAGCTCCCCCGAAATCTGCCAGATATCTGCCCAGAATGTGGGCACCTGATGGACCGATCGCAAGCGAAAACCTGGTGGCGTGACTTCGCTCGAATTCCCCTCAAATCTGAGCTCGAGCGTGTCCTTGCGCATCCAGGAATCGAGGAACTGATGTTCAACTGGCAAGAAAGACGGCAGTTAGCGGCCCGTTGGGATGCTTCACAACACCCTGGCCAGAAGATCTACCGGGACCAGTGGAGCGGTTCAGCGCTAGATCAGATCTTGGGCCCAGACGGTAACCGTCTCATAAGTGACCCCCCAAAAGACGGTGAACCGCCAGTTATTTACATGAACCTTTACGTCGATTGGGTCAATTGTCGATCTTCGATGTCTACGACTGGCTACTCTGTGGGTCATATCTCCCTCCAAGCGGTCAACTTACCACAGGGTTTGAGGGGGGTTCAGAACCTGATCATGTGCTGTGGCCTGACTCCCGGTGCGTTGATTCCTGGTTCGAAGAAGTCGGTCTCACTTCAGCTGCTTAACTGCCCTTTTACTACCCCTGTACAGGCCCGAGAGAGCCCCGTCATGTCAATCTCTGGAAATTCTTGATACCTACCATGCTAGAATTGCGTCAAGCTTGGGAAGAACCGGTGTCCATCAAGACTCCAGATTTTCCTAACGGCCGTCTATGCCGCCTGGTACTGGCTGCTATCTGCGCTGATAGACCAGCGGCAATTGCCGCAATAGGGGCTGGCTCGCAAACATCGCTCAAGGATATCTGTACTCGATGTGAAGCGACACACCAGCAACAGGCAGATACCCATGG